AATGAATCTATTGTATCTTCAATCACTAAAGTAACGCGAGATGCCGCTACTTTCGTCCGTCGAGAGGTCGTATAGCAAGGTAGCAACGTACTATGCCTAATGTAGGTGTCTAACAAGCACACATTCTCTTGCGTTTGTTCTCCCTATCTTGCTGCATAGGGCGTGGCAAAGAGGGGATTCCCCGCCGACAGCATGATGTCACACCAGAATAGCATGCTGCAGGACCAGCTCGACTTGCAGTCTCTCAGATATCCGGTCATGTGGCAAGCAAGCGATGGTGACACCGACGCTGGCAGGGTGGTGAATGCGGGCAATCTCTTTGATGTACCTCTTCGACGGCATCCTGGTAAGCTGATGCTGCTGTTGTTGCTGTTGTTGCTGTTGCTGCTGTTGCTGCTGCCAATTATCAAGTACTTCCATTGTACCCACATGTACTCGGTATGGCTCTTCACTAATGTAGTGTGACATGGTGGAAAACAAGAAAGGTACTCTGGCAATACAATAATATTATGGTTGAGATCTACATTTAAATAGAACCTGCCAAGCGGCGACCACCTGTCCCAGCAGACCAGTACAAGCAGGACTGAAGTGTGATTTCCACTCACGTGACCCTAGACGAGGGAACCACCTGTACTACTACAAGGGCCGTATTCGGGGGTTCCGTGATCGGTCGGCTTTGACAGGTTTCGGGATCACTCTACACTTTTCGGGCACCTGTAGGTGTTGGTGTTTTCTTTGTCGTTCTTAGCTACTACCTCTGTTCTGTCTGTGGCACACTCTCAGTGTTTCTACTCAACTGTCTGGAAGTGCGGGAGAAACTCTACATGGACCTGCTGTCCAAACAGTTACAAGTGGAGCAGGACAAGGTGAAGCATGTGCCTGCCAGTGAAGGTTAGTGAATGTAACTTACCTTGTGATTGTTAGCTGATGGTCTAGCACCGTCCTGGGTAGGCTATCCAAGCGCGTAGCCTCTGGTTGTTTTGCAATTGGTAGTAGTAGTAGTAGTAGTAGTAGTAGTAGTAGTAGTAGTAGTAGTATTTATTATTTTTTAATTGGTGTGCCTTTTAGTTTCGTATTTCTTCTAACCGTTGTCCTGTGTACAGACTACTATCACAGTCAGTCCGCATCCTTTGACCTCGTTTCCCTAGCTAACCTGGGCAAAGTTTGTCTAGATATTGGCAATCCATAGCGATTTTAAAATTGATTGGAAATTAATTTGTAATTTCAGCCCCAGTTTGCGGGAAGCACATTGATCAGTCACCATGGCCGGCGTTTTGTGCTCACTGCTCGTACAACCAGATGTGTTCGTTCACGACAGACTAACATACGTTGTATGTCTTGCACGCTGTGTTGGTCATCTATTTCAGTCGATGACAGGATATGGAACGCGTGTGGCTCTCTCGCGGTGGACTGCGGCAAAGCTTTCTTTGAGAGGTAAGTTAAAAAGAGAATTGTGTGTCAGCATTAGCTGAAGCACTGTGAGCTCTTACTTCTCACATAATGCATCATTGTTCATAATTTTCTTCTCACTGTGCTGCTGCACAGCACGGTTTGTCTACTCTATTTTCTTCGTTAACGGGCAGTTATGGTGTGGTGGTTGATGAAAACATATTTTCTTGCTTGTTTGTCCATAGTTTTATTGTTTCACCCTGAGGATGGGCCATGCATACCCAACAGATTGGTGACGATAGAGAGATGTTTGCGGCAAGGAGACCATGTGGTGTGACTGCTGAGACTGACTAGTGGGTATTTCGTTGTTGTTGCTGCTGCTGCTGTTCTTGTTGTCACTGTTTTTGCATTCCGTTACTGCCAATACAGACAGATTCTGCAATGGTTTATCGAAGACATTGGCACGGTGAAGAGCAAGACAGCCCATACTCTGCTCAGCAAACTTGCCAGTCTGTACGGATTGTGGTTGGTGCTTGCCGATGCCAGGTGAGTCAGCTTGCCCAAACAGCGGCATTACTGTAACGGGTCATACTAAGTTAGTATGTCCGCAATACAGGCCCAACATTTGAACAAAACCGAATGATATCGATCCGATCCATTTGTTCCGCAAGGGTGAAACGAATGCGTCACGAGTGTGACAGAGGACATACAGCGTACTCGCCCAACATCCCGGAATCTCCAGTCACAGAACCATGCCCACCAGGATGCGGTACTTACTAATTACAGTGCATTTCAAAAATATAGACGCCTGGCAGTTTTGAAATATTTTGGCTGGAGCTTTCTGAGAATTTTTCCCCGAATATTGCTCAGGTCCTTCTCCCAATTACTCTCATAAGCGACCAGATAACAAACGCCCAATTTCGAAAAATTGTATGCACAAAACGATCACAGATTTTATGTGGCTTTTGGAAATCATGCGTCTATATTTTTGAAATGCAATGTAGTTTGGTACCTTCGGTCACACCCTTTCGCGAATCGTGCATCTACTGTTCTAGAAGGCAAGGATGCAGAGGTTTTGCATTAACAAAATTCTGGTGATCGTTGTGGTCCTCCACAGGTTTTGTGGAACGTCTTCGCTCAGTGTTGGCATACAGGACGAGATGCGGCAGGAGTTCGATGCCCTGCTGGCCGAGGTATGTTGACACAGTTCAGGACACATCAACATGCTGTCTGACACATGCTCACTACAATTGTACACTCCATTCATCCTAAACTAGCACTCTGACTTGTTGGTGTCCTCCACGTTTAAATGTAGATATTGTTAAGACAAGCCACATTCGAGGCCGGAAAAAGTCCAAAGATAGGGAATTAAAAATCAGCCCGGTTTTACAAAATAAGGACAGGTGTGGAGTTGCACATCCCAAACCCAGATCTTTTGAATTTAAAGAGGATTTTTAGTCTCAATTCAGTCAAAACCGGACTTTTATAAGCCAGCGGGAATACTTTGGATGAATTGACTATAGCAAACAATGTACATGTACCCTCTTGTCCGGTATAATACAGCGCCTGGCTTATGTACTACTACTGTAGTAATCATCCCTCAAACACACCATAACCACCCAACCACCCACCACCCACCACCACCACCACCATCTTCATTCCTGGCTGCATATTTTGGCCGAACAGCATGGTTATCTGTATGATGCTGGTGTAGGTAGGATGGATGTCATCACTACTAAGTAAGTCTTATATTCTCCATGCCTGTGCTTATAGGTGCGTGTACACTGCCGATGCTTAGTGGATGGCCTGTGCGTGCCGGACAGCTTCCTAGGACCCATTGCGCTAGTCCGTAAGTGCGCGGCATGCATGTCACTATTGCATACGCTAAATATCTAGACCATTTCCACAATACATCAGCCAGGCACATAGCAATTCCTGTGCCGTGTGACCCAGCAGTCACTAGTCACTGCATACATGATTGTACAGTTGTGCTTGGTGAAATCCGGCCCAAAGTGTGCACCCTCAATTTGCACGATCCAGGACACCCTGGAAGTGGTACGAATGCGGACGGACGTACACATGCACAAGTACGTGTACGGTGATGGTATATAGAAGCCTTGCTTGAAAGTTGTTCGATTTCGACAGCATGTTGCAAGACCGGGACTCTGCCAACCGGGTTATAGTTGTAGTCAGGAGCACTATGCGTCCTCGCCTTGTGACATGCTGTCGAAATCGAAAACATCCACAGTGATGTAATCCTAACTGGTCTAGGGCGCCAGTTTTGCACGTTGGGTCGGATTTCAGTGAGCGCAACTGTAGATATATCAGGAACAATTTCTGCCTCCTCTTTCATAGCAAGTTATTAGGTCGGCCCTGCCTGTGTAGGGTACGGAGAAGAAAATCTAAAATTCTGGCCATCCCAAACCCCGACCACCATCCCCTCCTGGAATGATTACTTTTATAGCCTATGCTGGCTGTGAACTTCACACCTGAAATGATTGGTCAACCGGCCTCGGCCAATCAGAGTTCAGCAAGTGTTTATCCTCTTGGCTTGCTGATGGTTGTTGTTTCTGCATGAGGATCTAAAATTCAGCATGTGTGACGTGTGAGTTTGCGTGTTGGTAGAGAGGCATGCCTGTGTAGCATGAAACATGGACATATGCGCACTCTACCCTACCGTATACCTTGAGGTGAAAGGTTTCATACGACGGCCCCTGCGGCCCTCAGATGACGTGCATGATGTAATTGAAATAGAAGTGTGACTCGTCTACAGGTGTTAATTAATGCTTTGTTACCGGGTGAGGGGTTTCCAGTGCTAAAGAAATGGCGAGTGAGGCACTTCTTGCCGTTTCATTTAATATTTGAGGGCAATGACTTTGCTAGCTCAAACGCCTTCTATTACACTTAAAAAGAGCAAAGACATTGCTGTGTCCAAGCTGCCATTACAAAAGGATTCCGGACAGGAGCATCAAGCCAGTCAGTATTCACCTGTACTAGCATGCCACAAGCTGACTCCCCTATGAATATGTAGCAAGTTAACTGGCATGAAATGAAATATGTCTGTGCGTCTCTTCACTGTCATTCCTCGTCTGCTGTGTTGCTTGCGTAGGTGACAGCAACGACGAGTTCTGGTCGTACGAACAGACGCTGAAGAACAGTACCTTTGCTGGCCGAGCAAAGCTGTAGTCTCTCCTCTCTTTGCAGAGAGCCTCCAGATGCAGTCAATGTACTATTACTGTTAGCGAAAGGGCGAGGCGGATATTTAAAAGTCTCTCCATTCAAATTTAGGAAATATTTTATCTGGAATTCTTTTCTTTCTTCCTTTGCTAATATTTTTTCAAAACATTTTTAATTTTTATCCTGTAGCAATATGGCCAGCATTTGGCCACATCAATTATATTTCCATCATTATCACTATTATTTTTAGCACTAAGTTAGGCCGTCATATCCAAAGATTAGAAATTTTTAAAATTTAGCCCTACATTCTCATTTCATCCTATCCTCCTACGTGGCACCTATCCGAACAGCACAGAACAATAGTCTGGCTATATACAATTTGTTTAGAGCAGTAAGTACTAAGTAGTTATGTGGAGCATTGATGGAAGTGTCTGTCGGTTGCTTGTCACCACCAGTGACGCATACTATGTGCAGAACATTAGCAAGAAAGTAAAACTGGAATGAGTACTAAATGTGTGGGAAAGGTCTAATTACATTACCTACACCATGCACACACAATTCAGTTTTTGAAAAAGAGTTCAAAAGAGTAAAAAAGAGCACACGGAGATGGACTTCGAGAAACTATCCTGACGGATGGAAGTGATCCGGTTGGGATGCGCTAATGTTGCAGACGATACTACAGTGTGTCCTACGAGTTGACACTCACACTTGCCTGCTGGTTGAAGTGCTGCAGGTCTTTGCGATAGCCGGAGATGCTCGAGTGGACGTTATCCATTGGCGATTGCATTAGGGACCTGAACACCAAAGTACACACATAAACAAAGATATCATGCCACCGTGGCAAGACGTGAGGTGACACGTGTGAGAGTCAAACAGGACAAGCCGTTCAGTAGTGCATAGGAGAATGGAAAAAGCATGTCCCAAATGACCGGTGCAAGCACAGGCGATCACGAGTTAGAAAGCGGTCAAGTCATGTCCCAATGGTGTCGGCAAAACCATGGCACACTGCAGCACTGTATAATCTCCCATGCACGTACAGAACAGTCATGACGTCAAAACCCTGGCACACTGCAGTACATGTACTCTGTATAACCTGCCATGCGTGTTCAGCACAGTGCAGACAACACAGTCTTACCGGAATAAGCGACCACGCTCAGCAGCGCGTGCAAAGTCCTTCGCCTTCTGGTGTCCAATATCTATTATCTATAGTGGACACATAGCAATAGAGAGCAGCTTTTCATGAATGTGCTCATTGCTGGTTTTCAGTGGGTTTCTTGTATCCTGTTCTTTCTTGCACATCATTGTGAACCTGATGAAGGCAATTTGCCGAAACGTACTTCCTCCGCGTCATCGGAATTGTCGCAGTTTGACTAGTGACTTGTCACTGACAACTCCATAAACTAAGCCATTCAAAACTTGTTACACAGTATGATAGTCTGAAGACTAGAGTAACGTTCCAGGACAAGTGGACTGAGAGTTGTCATGCAGAGATGAAGTCCTCGTCGTCGCTGATGTCAATGGACGCAAAAATATCGTTCCGAAATATTTCAAGGAAGGTTGAAAGTTGGTCGCGCCTCATTTCAAACGCTTTGAATTTCTCCACAGGACAAGAGCTGCTATGCTTGTCGTCTGCTAGCTCTGGATGATTTCTACTTCACCACCAACGAAGCCTAGTAAGAATACACGATTGTTGCGAGGTCGGTTGATTACCGTCGGCGGAATCACCTCGATCTTGAAATGAACTTTTTTTAGCCGCGGCATGCCCACAGCTCATGCAGGTAAGTGTAGTATCACGTCCAGCGCGCCCTCTTTTTCAGCATCACTGGTATACCATGGTACGGCAGCTGCGCGTGCATCACTAGCACTACGTGTAGAGTCTACACGGCTCTTGCAGGTACAATCATGTACTAGTATTGAGTGTCTCAGCCAGAGCGACAAATTTTATCGCTGTTGCAGGCATTTAGTTTGCCGACCCCATGATGTTTCTCCAAGCGCTGCCACTTGTTCCACGAAGTCATTCTCACCCCAGCTAAGGTAAAACAGTGATGGGGCTTGAGTGAATGGCCATACGCACGAGAAATGTGCAGGCTGCAACGCCTGACTGATCTCAGCGAGTCGAAATTACCAGCGCAGCGACATCAGCGAAGAAATTGCGTCTAGTTCAAAAATTCCAGCTTCCAATAACAGAAAATAGAACTTTGCCGTCACCCTATACTGATGACTATCGCCTATGTCCGATTCCTTGCCTCTGGTACGAGTGCTGGTGAGTAAATACCGCGTTTTACATCAAAAGTCAAACTGCGACAATTTCGATGACGCGGAGGAAGTAATATCGTGAAATGAGCTGAATTATTGCAGTGTTAATGGAAGAGAGCGTGTGGGCTCTACTCTTAACTGTTTATGAAACTGCAGGAAGCCTCCACACTTTTAATTAGTCTGTTCTTTCCGTTTTTGAAATTCGCACCCCAGGTTTTTCGGAGAAATTCCGTATGTACATATTACACAAACACGTACCCTGCTACAGTACCACGACAGTTGTTAGATTCAGCATAACTACATGAATAACATTCCTTTCCACACAACACAGCACACAGCAGCATTTTCTTACCTCGTCAGACAGTCCAGCCAGGCGAGCTGCGTTGAAACCGTAGCTTTTCGGGCAGGCGCCGGCGATGAACTTGTAGAGGAATGTGATTGTTTCCTTACTGGTGTCTTCTTCATCTTCATTCTCCACCATACATGCCTGAAAATTAGCAGCAGTAGCACCAGCACCAAAACACCATAGTGGAGAGTGCATCACGGTGTGAATGTAGAACTTGCATAACAACACGTGATACCGGTACAAGTGAATCTCCAGGAAAGATGAAAGTCACAAAGCACGGAATACAGGTGCAGAGCAGGGATGACCAACCAGTGAATCAGTAAACAGGGACTGTATCACTGTTCACAACACCAAAATACACATGTCATAGCTAAACGACACCAACTTCGGAGACTTGAACGTTTTCCTTTTTGTTCATGAAAGAAAAACCATTGCTATGTTCAGTACATCCATTCATTTCTTCAGTCGATTCATTGATGATTAATTTTAATACTTGTAATTGATGCATCAGTAGGCTTTAAGCAGCTTCAACAGTCCTTTTATAGCGAGCTCCCTACGATTAAGCTAAATTGGACACCTCCTGCCTCCTTTTGTATTTTTCTAGACCTTGACATTTTCAAGGAACTTACTACTGATGATAAGCTCTGTATGTTTAAGTTTCGAACTTTCCAGAAACCACGGAACGCTTATCTTTACATACCGTTTGCTTCGGACCACCCGAAAGCAAACCTCAGAGCATTTATCAAAGCTGAACTTCTACGCTATAATCGCACAAACACCAACATGGCTGATGTACTAGCCATAAGAAGTCTGTTCTGGACACGCCTCTGCCGAAGAGGATACCCACCCAACTTCCTGATGAGTGTTTTCTGTGACGTTCAGCCTGCTGTGTGCAAAACTATCAAACCAAAAACTTCTCCTAGTTGTGATGATAGCATTGTTTTCTCTACAGCATTTCACCCTCACTTTGTACATAATAGCAAGCAATATAGAAATTTAATCAAACAATGTTTTTTCAAAGATGGAAAGATTGTCTTTAGAAAGACAAAACAGCTTTTCTACTAACTTGTTTGTTCTCTTGGCAGAGCTCAATATGCTCTGCATTTTGGTGGGAAATGAAATTTCATTTCCCACCAAAAATCTCTTGTTTCCCGCTTGCAATAATGACCTTCATAGTGCAACACACTATATTACTGACCTATAGAATATAGTACCAACGTACTGCTGTTTCCACTTGCAACATTATTGCACTTCTGTACACACCTGCAATAGTGCTGCACTGCTGTACGTACCCGCATGCAATATCGCTGCACCACAGTACCCCCTTGCAAAAATCGACCCCCCTTTTTTTTGCAATATTACGCCGTACTCAGCTGCACTTGTACAAAGTTTACATTGTATCAACTGCATTGCATAGTTTCATTTTTGCTTTGTTACTGGTATAAAACCACAGTTCTAATTTTATTCACATTCATATCTCTGATGAAGCTCTACAGAGCAGAAACCGGTTAGATAAAATGAATTTCAAAACTTAGAACTGTTTTTGAAGAATTAGAAAGTGTGTTGTGCCAGGGTTCCGAAATTCCAAAACTGTTAGACTTACCATGTGACCAAGTCGGACAGCAGGGTTGGAAGCCAGTTCGTCCACAAGTGAGTGATAATGTGTGGAGAACAGCGTGCGACAGCCAATATTCTTGGTCAGCTCATGAACCACAGCCGAGGCTATCGCAGTTCCATCAAATGTGGCTGTGCCGCGGCCTAAACGCAATGCGCAGATAAACACATACGCATTAGACAGATATGCTAGAACAAATAGAAATATCGCCTGTGCTTCTGACATTGCGCTTACAGGTGCAAGCCTTTGACCCATATACTAGTGAGGTTTAGTTCCCACGTAACGGAAACGCGTACGTGGGTGATCCACGTAAAGTTGATGAAGGACACCCACGTTGCAATGTTGTGTTTAGTCACACGGAACAAACAAAAGCATGAACCGAAAGGCCCAAACCTGGTCAAAGACGAAGCTACCCGGGCCTAAGAAGCTCCTCCAATATTTTGATTTCGTGCTTCGGAAACTTCTTCAGCTGAGCACCCTCACAGCTCGCACAACGCGCTCCATTCTGATTTTCACCCACGTTCTGGCGGAACGTGAGTGAGCCTCCATACACGGTATGTCGTGAACCTGAAAACGTCTGTACGTGGGTCACTGAGTATCACGTGGTACACACACGTAAAGTACCCACGGATTACGTGGGACTAAACCTCCCTACTGTCCACATCAATACAACTTGCACGAGTATGATGGTGTGCATGCCAATCTTGAAAGATGGACAGCCTGGGTTGTGTAAAGGTCAAGGTGACGCAAAGTTGGCTCTGACCAGAGGGGAAAGGGCACGTTAGAAATGTCCACTCCAATCATGTCATTCAAGGAACAAGCCCTCTTTCTCTTCTCAGTCTCCATTTCAGCTTGGTGTTCCGCTTTCTTGCCACTTACCTAATTCATCCAGCAGCACTAGAGAATGCTTGGTGGAGTGTTGGAGTATAGTGGATGTCTCGCTCAGCTCCACAAAGAACGTACTCTCACCTTCAGCACAGCAAGGAAGGAAGGAAAGAGAGGGAGGGAGAGGGAGAGAGAGAGAGAGAGAGAGAGAGAGAGAGAGAGAGAGAGAGAGAGGGAGAGAGAGAGGGAGAGAGAGAGAGAGAGAGAGAGAGAGAGAGAGAGAGAGAGAGAGAGAGGGAGAGAGAGAGAGAAAGAAAGAGAGAGAGAGAGAGAGAAAGAGAGTGAGAGAGAGTGTGTGAGAGAGAGAGAGAGAGAGAGAGAGAGAGAGAGAGAGAGAGAGAGAGAGACATGTAGACTATACAGGTACAGCGATTGCAATAAAGAGAGACTGCCTTGAAAGCTGAAACTCATTCATTCAGCAAGATTTGTATTTGTTTAGAAAATCAGAACCAGTGAAAAGTTAGAAATGTGACAAGCACGACCAGTCACCGGCAGAGGCAGAGGCAGCAGCAGCGGTGGAGGCAGCAGCAGCAGCAGAAGACAGAACACCAAAGACCTGAACAGCATACATACCGGCCATGATGTGATCGCTGGCACCTAGACGTGTGAATAAGCGATCGACGGGGGACAGATGGCAAGTCTCAGCAGGCACATAGCAACCCTGGGTATGAACACAATACACAACACACAAACAACAAGATCTGAACATACATGCACAGATACAACGGAAGGTGGTGCAGTGCTGGATTGTCCTTCACAGCCAGACATAAAATTCCACACAAGAAAGGAGGAAGACTCACCAACTGTGCAAGGATGACGATGATTCCCGTCTGTCGCATCAGCGTCGATTTGCCGCCCATATTCGGGCCGGTAACGAGCAGACACGAGCTGTGCTGCTTGCTAGCAGAGACTGCACATGAGCCGTTACTGCTATCGTCCTCGCCGTCGTCGTCGACAACACCAATCACGGTGTCGTTCGAGATGAACTCGTCGCCGCTGAAAGTCTGCGCGATGCATGGATGACGGGCGTCGCGGACGTTCAGGAACGGGTGGCCATCCGACGAGAATTGCACGCGAGGCCGGCACATAGGCCCATCACCGTGAAGACTACAAGCAGCAAATAACACACGGGCAAAGTACAGTATACGCGTACGTGATCATCATTGATAGTCACATCCATTCGCCCAGTTTGGAGAGCAGTGGTCAAGCCAGGCAAGAGAGTCCATACACAGCGCAAGAATACAGCGACGGCTACATTTCGATGATACATAAGTTTTATTCAAATGTATCACCGTGACTCTCTCCAGTAAAGGAACATATCAACAGAAGAGTACAGTGAAAAAAAGCCACAACTGAGCCACTCTGGGAGCTCTAAAGGAGTGATCAGCTTGGCTTTCAAAGCATTCCCATCAGAGAGCTTGGAATGAATGGCAATGGGGACAAATGACACTATGAGAAGAAGAACAGGATATTTTAACACGCTGTGCAAACAGAAGGGAGAACAGTACACACATGGTGTGTGAAAGGATGGCGCTTGCCATCAGTGTGAAGTTCAGTGTGAAATAGCTCCATGCTTGCACACAAGCAGATGAGAAACAATCAACACCAAACAGGAGAGTCTGTCCGAACAACATTTGCCAGTCACCAGTTATAGCTTGACAGCTGACACAGTCAGTGTAAACATTGCACATTGGCTTCCCAGGTGTAAGCCAAACTCTTAACCCATGGTCAAATTCAATGCCAGAATGTCATGACCCCGGCCCATAAAGGGTACATGTACATGGACACGACGAGCACGGTCATGTACATATCAGCAGGCCATGGTGTCAGTGTGTGGACTTCACTTCAGGTTAACACTCAACACAAACATTACACCAGTAACTCTACAGTTGTCACCTCAAGTGCAGTTTTGCACAGCTCGCACTGTCCAACTGCATAGTGCACTCAGGGTAGAAGATCAGAGCTCCGCGACATCATTGTGGCCTCTTACGGGTCCCAATAAAACATTGACGATGATCACTAAAGCACACTGCTAGATGTGTGTTGCTTACCTGAAGTGTGCTAGACTCATCAGCACGTCCAACACAGCCACGCACTGTACAGCCCGGTCCCACACTGAGAAACTGACACACACACACACACAGACACACACAGACACAGACACACACATATACACACACACACACACACACACACGCAAAGGAACAAAAGTACAGAACACAGAGAGAATTAGACACTGAACACTTCTCCATAGTATTTCTGATGGCAGCACAGGTGAGGTACAAGAGAGAGAGAGAGAGAGAGAGAGAGAGAGAGAGAGAGAGAGAGAGAGAGAGAGAGAGAGAGAGAGAGAGAGAGAGAGAGAGAGAGAGAGAGAGAGAGAGAGAAAGAGAGAGAAAGAGAGAGAGAGAGAGAGAAAGAGAGAGAGAGAAATGTGCAAAAAAGATGAGAGAAGACCAACGATGAGACAATATTCGACAAATGTCCTCAGAAGAAACCGCGATGAGAGAAAACAACAGCCTTACTGCTCATCAAAGCTGGCAAACACACTGCGCATTGTGTCTCGCAGTGCTTCATCTCGCAGCTCCTCTGCTCTCACGAGATCCTCCAGCCATGCTTCGATTTTTTCAGTGCGATAGCGGTGGAATCCCTGTCAGCAGCAGACATGCATGCACACACACGCATACACGAAAACGTACATTGCTGAGCACAAGTGCACACCCTCTCACACACATAGTCACATCGATACAATAGTGCCGCAATGCCATCAGTAACCAACAGTCACTACATTGCTCCTCTGTGTAACTGGTATACATTGGGGTTACTGTAGGGCACACCATTGCTCACCTTCTTCTGAGATGCTAGGTTGTAATCGTCGGGTGTATAGCGAGACAGCACTGCATCAGGTACTTCCAGCTGGAAGCGATTCTTACCCGTGCCCCAGTAATTGACATTCTGCCACGCAAACAAAGGAATAGCAAACATCACAACAGCAACGGTAATCACAACCTCATCCGCCCAACCTCTAAAACACTACCACGAATGGGTTCGAGGTGGTGGGGCGCTTTCATGGCACTTTATGGCACTACCTCCTCACAAGGCTACAGTGTTGAAGTAAGGTTTTGGTGAGCAGCACATAAAGTATACACATCGCCAGATACGGCTGGCGGGTATTCCTTGCTTGGCATGACGGAGGTAGCTACAACAGACACTGTGTTCATGGCTCTTAGTGGATAATCGCTCAAAGCGTGGAGGAACACAACACTGCAAAACATTCCACGTGTCACGAACATATCTGCTCCTGTCCATAATGAAGTGATCGACAGCGAAAAACAATCCGAGCTATCTGACATATCCTGGATCAGGAGGTGGATTGCTCTGATTTGACACGCACAAATCCAAGCAATCTCACAAGTCTTTAACGGAATTTGACAAATCAAACATGATCTACGTGTACTCCAACGTGCTATGTATCACAGAGTCAAAATAAAGAGAACAGGATGTACAGTGAAAGCTGGCTATAGAGATCACCTCTGTGTACAGTGAAAGCGGGCTATAGAGATCACCTCTGTGAACAGTGAAAGCGGGCCGTAGAGATCATCTCCGCACGCCAAAGTTACGACCACTTCAGTCTACCCCTCACTGCTTCAGATGAGTTTCAGTAGACACATGTACTATAAAACAGCTTGGTATCACATCATTGTCAAAATGATGATGACGAAACGATATCCCACACTTCTGACCCTACCAATGTATGTCATTCGGAGCTACATACTGCGAACCTACGGGCAGTGCCTGGTCCCGGACTGCCTGGATAAACAAGGTATGAGTGTGTACCATATCAAGGTTAAAGTTAATAATGAAGTTTCACTGCAGCACACTCCACAGTATGAGAGTACCCCCCCCCCCCCCCATTCCGAGGAGGGTGCATGGCTGAAGTGTGGTGCACCCTCCTACCTACCCACCCCCCTTGCCTGGAGCCCTGGTCCGATTGGCATACAGTGTGCTATACAATGTTCCACAGTACGGGTCTGGAGTAGATAGGACATACCCTGGAGCCGAGACGTTTGCGCTGCTGCTCAAGGTAAGTCTGCAGCGCATCCTCAACAGCCTTCACATCACGCAAAGCAGCATCGTAGGCCTTGTTTACACCTGAAAAACATAAAGGTTCATGTATTCGACAGCAGAAAAGAACTGATAAAGAGACTGAGAGACTGCAAAGCAGCCGAAGCCAAGGATTCACGATAGGCACATGTAGATAACCGAGTTGTGTCAATGCCCGTGTGTCTAGCAGATGTGTGTGCATCTGTGTTTGAGAGAAGGACCACCAAATCAAAGGGAAGAAAATATGCCAGGCAAAAATAGATCCTTCAATGTAGCTTATGCATCTGCACAATCCACACCAGTCCAAACGTTCAATGTGTTAGTATTATTATTATTATTTGATGTTCATGCTGTTTTTGACTTGCTGACTTTTCACACTTGTAGCGCTATAATTATCTCTCTCAGGCAGGATTTCCTCCCACTATGGAACGGAAAGGCCCTCCTATCTCAATTCTTTGCCCTATATAATTGCTGTCTTAGTCATTTTTGTTTTACATGTATTCCCTGTAAGAGACCATGAAGAGAAGGGAACGAGAACGTCCGGTACTAAAATTTCCTAGTGTTCTTTCGGTCTGGTGTGGATTGCGCAGATACATGTACTACAGTGAAGAATTCGAGACGCTTCCAATTTGTTCTAGAAAATATAGATCCACTCCACATACCAGGCCTGGGAAGAATGACTCCGTCGCGCTTTGCTTTCTCATGGTCAAATGCGTTCTGAAAGAAGAAGAAGTATACAAAGATAAAACGTTTTCAAATGGATCAGAAAAAAATTACACTCGCACAACACTCGATAGTAGAGTCGATACATATCCTATTTGGGGGTAACCTGAATCCTGCACCAGCGACTATCCAGAGCTGAGCCTGCATTGATGAATGTACGAGTAACCAAACGTAAATTGCAGAGAAGAAACACACCTGAAAGAAGTTGATGAGTTCGTCCAAAGCAGGATACTTGCCAATGTCACCTTGGCAGACCGTGTTTCGGAGAAGAGCAGATCTGGAGGCATGGGCACAAAGCACCCAATCACAGCAGCTCTGGATTAGAACTGATTTTCACGACAGTTGCACTGCGTGCTTCGATGGAGCAAATGCAGCCACAGCTTAGGAATCAATTACATTGAATGATATCAACAAATCAAAAAAATCTGCAAGTCAGAATCTAGAGGCTGTAGCAAAGATAAAGGAACTGACTTAGGAGGTAGGACATTGATTTTTTGGTGAAGGTTGGTTGGTTGGTTGGTTGGAGAGAGAGAGAGAGAGAGAGAGAGAGAGAGAGAGAGAGAAAGCAGACGTTAGAAGAAATACCGCACACTACTTACTTGCAGTCAGCATCAAGGTGCTTGGCCAAACTACACACCGCTTGGTCCGCCTGTACAAAGCCAGATAGCGTAGTCAGGAAGTCCTGGATCTTGCGCTTGCTGCAGCACCAGAACCAACCACCCCAAAAGAACACTTTGATGGATGATCAGTATTTTTCATAAGGATTCATAAGCAAGAAGTCAACAAACGAAACACGAATAAAAAAACAATTTTTGAAAGTGCTATAAAACCAACATGAACCCGCACGCACACTCCTACACCCTGTACACACACCCGTATGTTGTCTCCTCGTAGAAGATAGCTCGACTGTCGGGATGGTCATCACTCGTCCTATGCACTGATCCAAGGAGGTGAATTCTATTCACACAAGAGAAGACATAGACACGAATCAGTCAAATTTAGCCTGTACTCTAACAGACAGACAGACAGAGAGATAGACCCGTCCGAAACACCTTACTTTCCGAGAAGTCGCTGCAAGTCGGGCAGCTGCCTCAAGATGTCCCTTGCATCTGTGACAGCCGCTGGGAGGTCCATCAAGGCTTCCACGGCATCCAACCTGCCACGCAATAGCAAATCCACACATACATGTAGTATAATATACATACACGTGAAATGTCATCAGCATCACCGCTCCCCCTTCACACATCCCAGACAGGAGGAGAGATTACCCACCGAGAACAAGGCCTATTTATGCATATGGTACTGCACGATGTCCTTTCCTTTATTATCTTTGTGGACACGTAATATGAGGGTTTGACCTATCCGCCAATCTGGGCTGAGCCATGATATCTTACAACAGTTGCACCGTCATACATTGGAAAGTGGTGTGAATGAGTGAGTGGGTGTAAGGAAGATAGATCGATGGAGAGAGGTAGTGGTAGGAGCGAGAGAGAGAGAGCAAGAGAGAGCAAGAGAGAGCAAGAGAGAGATAGAGAGAGATAGATAGAGAGAGAGCAAGATAGGGAGAGAGAGAGAGAGACAGATGGATACATGTACATAGATAGAGAAGGAGATAGAGACAGAGAGAGAGAGCATACCTGGAATTGATGGCATCTGGGTGGCAGAGAGGGGAGCATAGCCATTGCTTCAGCAACCGGCGACCTGCCATTCCAGCAACACAAACACGCAAATACTATTAAAAGTGCGAATCGAGGGAAACAATCAAACAGACGTCTGTTCTTGACAACAATCCCTACGCCATCCTTACTGCTAGCTTCCAACACCAGAGATTCCGCGAGAGTCAAGAGTCACCATTCCCAAAAGGAACAGCACAGTTCGGAGAGTGAACCCTGTGAGAAACCACGGCGTAAGTGAACGCAGACAATACCCTGCAGAGATACTATCAACAGAGAGCACAGTCTACTGCAGTGCTCTTACCAAATGGTGTTGCGCAATGGTCCAATCGCTGGTACAGCGAGCCCTGCACGGAACCGTCCGTAGCGTTCTGCAGCACCTCCAGATTGAGCAGCGTGACACCGTCGAGGACCATGTGCCGTTGGGTGGTCAGGAATGACGGCTGGCTGCTGCCGGACTGACTACCGCTAGTGCTGCCAATGGTCTCATTCAGACGCTCCTTCGCTATGCAGTCCTCGGGTATATACTCCTGTAGCACAACGAGCAACACCACAAAGCCAGTGGAACAGTGTTGACAAGAGACTAATCCATAGCGTGCACATGGGGAACCAATACCGGACTACAATACATGATAATACGCAGCCTCGCTCAAGGAGAGTTGCGGCAGCTCGAGAGAGGGAGAGAGAGAGAGAGTAAGTTACATTTATAAAGACAGGTAAGTCTAACAAATGAGGACTGAGACCTCTACAACAGGGTTTTTACGCCTGAAAGCAGGTGCATGATTTAACAAGCAGGTTGTCAGTCTAGATTTTATGCGCAGATGGAGAAAAAGCGCAGAATTTTTGTAATGAGATGAAAAGCAGAAATAATAAGAAATAATAAGAAAAGATGAAATGAAAGCCTGCTCACAACCCCGCCCAGCCTTGCGAACTGGGTATGGTGGATTAAGAACCCGGTTCAACGCTCGAGCAAGCGCTCTCCACTCAAGGTGTTCACAGCAACTGATAGGAACTCATATGGGGAAATTATAGAAAAGAAATAATAAGATAAAGAGAATAAATTTCAACGCACCTCAATAAACGGAGCCCCACATACAGTACCTCAGAAAAGTGGATCTTCCGACCAGTGTTTTTGTTGACGCCGCAACCAGATGATGTAGCTGCTTCGCAGAGACGTCTTACTGCACAAATTACAAATAAATTTTATTCTTCGATTAGAAAATCCAAGCGCTTTCAGAGCCCTCCGAAGAGAGTCTGGGATGAAACCACGCACACCTACCTCAACCGAAAAAGAAACGACCTGCCACCCGTTTGCTCGGCATTGATCGGCCAGATCCGCATACCGCCTGTCCTTCCGCGAGTTACTGACACTGAATCTGTCCTCAGCACAAACTGTCAACTCCATCCAGAATACAATCCTACGACTCGTAGAGTACAGAACTATATCTGGTCTTAGGGTGGTAAGTGCAACACAGCTAGGGAAAGAAATCTTTGCACTAACTGAGTCGACAAGAAGTTTCCAGTCTGAGGCCGCTGACAGGAGATCAGTCGTAACCAACTTTCGTCTGGGCTGAACGCGAACTGGCTTCTCTCCCGCCTTGCAAAACGAGATGAAGTCAAGCTCATTTGAATTTTCGGTTTGTACGGTGTTTGCAGCAGTGCGGATTCGAATCTCCTCACGCATGTTCCTGACGATGACCCCGAGTACGTTGTCGTGCCTCCAGGTGTAACGTCCCTGGTCCAGCGCTACGCGACAAGCGCCAAGCACGTGGCGCGTAGTACAGGCCCAGGTACGGCACAAACTACAGTACGGATCCACTACGGTGTTTCCCCAGCGGCGTAGGTTCGTCGGAGAAGGTAGCACGTCGAGGGTTGATGCGAGAAGAAATTTCAAATCCTTACCAGTACCACCGTACAAAAGGGATTTCCACGAGAGGTCCTGCCACATCACCGATGTCCACTCCAACCACTTGCCTTGCACCTGAAGAGTCTTCAGCCTCAAAATCTGCTCCTGCGCGTTGATCTCCTCAAATGTTTGAAGGAGATCCTTCCTCGGGGGTTTGGAACGCTGCTTCGGAGCAGGAGCACCCAACCCTGCACGATGACTTGAAGATGACGGTGGACGGAGAGTCCCTGAACCTACTGATGCCTCTGCACACTCCAGCTCTATTGTCGCCGCATATCGCTTTGTCAGCTTCGCATCCTTACTCCGACGCAGAGTGTACAGCGCCCTCATGCGCGCGTCCCCACTCGATCGAAGAATGTGCCATTTGATGGACTGGCACTTTTTCCACACCGTAGGAAGGTAGTGGAGGCGTAAGCCAAAGCGTTTGCGACTGCCAATAAAAAGAATGGCAGAGTTTGCGCATCGAGGTAGGCCTGACCATTTCTTCAGAAATGGTAAACACATAAAGTGCAGTTCACGTACAAAACCTTGTGTGAGTTCAAGAACCTGGAAAGACCAAGAAAGCTTGGGCACTACAAGATGGTGGTAAAGCCATAGCTTGTGGTGGTCTTGAAGCCAAGAGCCATCTACTTTTTGCATGAGAGATACAGTGAGTTGACGGATGTCTTCCCGCTGGGTCTGCTCAGAGCAATCAGCATGCAGCCTTCGCCCCAGGAACTTGAACTCTGCAGTGTCAATGAAAGCGATCTTCCTCCCTGACATTGTCAGGCAGGGATCGTAAGGTTTGTACCGGCCATCTACAAGCTTTGCTGCACTGCTTTTGCATTTGTGCGGCGCCGCCTGCATACATTGGGTCCACGAGAGAAAGTCCTCCGTGACCGCAATGAGTTTTTGACAACCTGCACTAGATTTGCTATAGAGGCCTAAGTCATCAGCAAAAGCTGTTTGGGACACTTGCAAAGGGGCAGATTTAAAATCATAGGAGGCAACTTAATTCAGGGGCTGCAAGTGAGTCCAGCAGAAGCTGGAAACAAATATTGAAAAGGACCGGGGACAAGGGGCACCCCTGGAAAACACCAATGTTGTAATTAAAGGTGGGTGTGTGTGGTTGTACGACGAAAGCGCAAAGACTGTCGTAGTAGGAAAAAATTAATTTCCTGAATTGCAAAGGAAGGCTGTAGTGGGTTAGAGCATACTGTATCAGATTGTGGCGCACTGAACCAAATGCATTCTTCAAATCTATCCACGCAATGCAAATTTGGCGTTTTGCCGTCTTTGCATCACGCATCGCCTCATAACAAAGTGATGTATGCTCTAAGCACCCAGCCTTTGCAGGCATAAATCCTTTCTGGTTGTCACCATCGAAGAACTTATTGCCTAGCATATGTTTCAAGAGGCGCTTTGCAACTAAGGTGAAAAAGATCTTCCCGGACGTGTTCGCTAGAGCAATCGGTCGGAATTTCGAAGGATCATCAGACACCTCCCCCTTGGCCAGGAGTGTGATACACGCTACCTGCCACTGCCTTGGAATGATCTTGCTCTCCCAAACCCGCCCAAAGATGGTGAAAAGAATGGATTGAAGGGAGGGACAAAGCTTCCAAACTATGTAAGGTATCTTGTCAGGACCCGGTGCAGAGGTGTTGCGACACTTCTTCAAAACATTCTGAAATTCAGTCCATGTAGGGGTCCCCTCATCGACTGGGTGGGTGCAATCCCGGGGCTTCCCTGCACTGGGGCAGGATTCGTACGAAGTGGCACGATCCTGGTCTGCATATGTGTGTTGGAAGTACTCAAAGCAGGTAGTGTCAGAGAAAGTGGGTTTGACATGGTTGGTTGGTTGAAACAATTTCTTTCCGAAGGCATATGGGTCCTTGAGAAAGGCATCCTGGTCCCTCTTGTTCCGGGATCGATCGTCGTACATCTTTTGTTGTTTCAAAAGACGCTTGATTTGTTTTCCAATTGAAAAATACTCATTTCTGAGCGCTGCAGGTACTTCGTCCGGGTTTTTGATCTTACGAAATTGGCGCTTTAAATCACGCCTGTGAGCCCGGAGTTTTTCCACTGCACGGTTTTTATTTGCATTCTTGTGTTTTGGTGGAGGTGGAGGTGGTTTCTGGTCGAAAAACCAGTGAATGAAGTTCTCTAGTTTGTCCAGAGTCTCTTCGATGTTAGTGTTTTTGAGGTATGAGGTTGGGAAATGTTGAGTGAGATGGATCTTCAACTGAGCGAGAGAGAGAGAGAGAGAGAGAGAGAGAGAGAGAGAGAGAGAGAGAGAGAGAGAGAGAGAGAGAGAGAGAGAGAGCGCAATGCACCCAGGCGCAGAGCTTTACACATGTATAGAGAAGGAAACAAAACGTATTGTTGTGGGCACACACACACTGTACTGTACACACACATTTCAGGTGGCAGTCAATTACCTGCATCTGCTGCATGGACAGCATGTCACCTGCAATACCGCACTTGGTGAGGTACCTACACACACAGAGCAAGCAGAAAGCAGAAAGCAGCAACACCAGACTCACAAACAGCCAACACATTCATACTCACACAAAGGGTGTAATTGATTAAAGAATCTGGATTGAGTGTGAGCAGGTGGTGTGGTCCGAGCAATGCTGGCCCAATAGAACAAAGCAAGGGTGCAGTACGCCAATGGTAGGCATATCGCACAAAAATTCTGTGACCGCTGTGAAAAAAACGTCAAAGTCCATTTCCACTCCAGCCACTCCCGATGTGGGGGCAGTGTGGGGGCAGTGTGGTCGGATCCCCACTCCAAGTACACCTACTCCGGATTTGGCCAAACGATCACGCTCACTCAGAGTGCGCTTGCTCGGGATTCGCCCAATCGATCATGCCCAAAGATAACTGGGTTCAAAGTCACCAACATTGGCAAGGCAAGTTGGTAAAGTGGCCAAAACCAGTCACCTAAACAAACATTCTCCCACCGGACTCCTAACAGTTATACCTAGCCAGTGCAGTGCAGCTATGCAAACATAAGCAGTTGCAGGTTGCTTTACAACATACACATGTACACATGTACATGATGTATGTGTCACATGAAGCTAAATGTTCACTGCACTCCGAACTCCAACCCGGCACAAAAAGTGGCGAGTTAGAGAAGAAGAAAAAGACGTGCAGCACTGAAAAACAGAACAGCAGAAGCAGAAGGCGAATAGAGATTTGGGGCGACATCCAAAACGTATCACGATAGCTTACCAAACGAGTGCGCCAAGCGAGCTGACAGCCAACTCAGAGCTGCTGTCGGCAGACAAGCCCAGAGCATCGGCTAGCACATAGAGAAAAGGAGAGGAAGAGGACAAGAAATAACAGACGTTATTGCTCAGTGAAAGAAGCCTCATAAGACAGTAGAACTTGATTGTGCAAGCCCAGAGCCTGGTGTGCCTGTAGAAGAAATTGCTGAAAGTGGCGAGCACTCAATTTGATAGCACCTCGTAGAGTTTGATCTGCTCAGGATTATGCTCTCTCTCTCTCTCTCTCTCTCTCTCTCTCTCTCTCTCTCTCTCTCTCTCTCTCTCTCTCTCTCTCTCTCTCTCTCTCTCTCTCTCTCCTCAGACCTGAGTCACCCTTATGCCACACGGCCAAGATTCCCCGGAAGGACTTTGCCCGCACACGACCAATTCAGGCGCACGATCACACACTGCAGCTGTCAGACAACCTTGACAAAGTACAATGGTGCAAGTTGGAAGTACCCACAGCAGATGTCAGAGTGCACTTACTTGATGACACAAGCTTCTGCAATGCTGATGGCCACTGTAACAGGAACAGAGACAGAAAGACAATGCTGGCAAAAGTCATTGTACATGTGTGAGAGCTCTTTGCTAAGGACAAGGAGATCGTGAATAGCAGGGGCTACTACATGTTAGTAGCCCCTATAACCCCCAGGAGTGTGCAACTCTACTGATCTCCAAGCTATGGGTGCCCTGCGCGGCAAGTTGCCTTCATTACGTAATGCAGGGTTCTAGCCAAAAGGGGGCAGCCCCCCCCCCTCTATTTGCGGCCCCCTGTGAAAAAGTGCCCCTACTCATTTTCCGATTTCGTGTTTTTCATGAGATAAAAAAAGTCGGCGCCCAGCGCATGCTTTGCTCATACGGTGTACATGCGTCCTGAAAAAGGTGACGTCAACAAAAATTCTGCCGTGGACGCGCTCTTGCAGCAGAGTTGCTAACTCTTGTTCTTTTTTTGTGCAGCTTCAGAAATACTTTCAGCACCAAAAGAAAAAAATTGATACGCCGACCACGATGGGACTCGAACCCACAATCTTCTGATTCGAAGTCAGACGCCTTATCCGTTAGGCCACGCGGTCACCTCTGTCTGGAATGGAAAACGGTTGCAAGATCACCCTGTTCTTGTGCAATACCCGTCACATTCAGCTAGCTCCCATATAAGGCGGATTCGATGTCAATGCATATTCTGATAAAGACATGCAAGCACTTGTTTTTGCATGGTAAATGTACCTTGGATGAGGACTTCTGCTGACCACTGCTCTCTTCTCCGCCAGCCTCTTCGTCCGCGGCTGGTGCCGACTGATCCGCCGACGAGCGGAAATACGACTTCTCTGACAGGGTTTTTAGAGTCTTTGTTGCCGACCAAAACTCCGTTCCTGAAAGCAAAATTCAGATCAGCCAAAGAATATCCACTCGGTCATCAATCAGTATCTAGGAATGATTTGGAAATGAATGTGACGGCACTGCGGACAAGCTAGCGGCATAGACTTAAGTGGACGACAGTGTACTCTACAGATAACAGTAACAGTACAATACTGTAAAACATGTAATTATAGGTGCATTTAAATTTCGGAGTTACGGACCGGCCAAGTTTCAGGTGTAATCTAGAATTAGGTGACCAGCGTTACCGTCATATACAGTGCATACCCTAGTGCCTTTTAGGTGTAATTTAAATTTAGGTGCATGTTTTCTCCACCGAAATTAAAGTTACACTGAAAATTATATGTTTTACAGTACCTTCCCATTGTGCGTGCGTACTCGTACGTGTGTGAGTGCACAGGGGAGACAGAGAGGAGACAAGCAGTTGGTACATTTTCCATACAGAAAAAGCATGGCTCGGTGACAGGGATATTTTTTTTTTCACGTGGTAGGTAGCAGTACCCTTTGCTGCAAAATTTACATCAGCCCCAAGATTTTCTTTTAAGAAAGTGTGCAGGCAAACATCAAATTTAGCCCCAGATTTTCTTTCAACTAAGAAAATGTGCAGGCAATGATTGTTTCCAGAGTCGAAGGGCGTGCACACCGCGACACACGGCTGGCTGACGGGCTGTGTGGCCGCATGGCTGGCAATGCGGAGTACCGGCGTACCTGGTGCAATGCAATCGGTCATGGCGTTGGCCAGGCAGCTGCTCAGGATGTGCAGAGTAGCCTGGCTGAGAGCGTGCCGGGGATACAACACCTGAGTGGCAACACACACACACACAACAGATAACAGCAGTGGTGGTGACGGTGAGGACGATGGCAACTGCTGGGGGTACAGTGGTAGCAACTCGCTATGGAATGGTATAAATCGGAATGCAGAGAATTACATTACTTAATCTCTGGACAGCTAGCTGATTCGATCTTGCTAAGCTCTAGTCAACGCAGCTGAGAGGTACTGGCCAAACTTATCGCAATGAAGTCTAAATGAACAAAAAAACATGCTTTCAAAGCATCAACATCAGAGTGCTCTAACTACTCCTCACTCTTGGCCTGGAGAAAGAATCACGATTAGTTGACAGAAAGAGCATCACAAATACTACCTAACACACCACCACATCCCACTTCTCGTAGTCACTGTGTGTAATTTGCGCCTGTAACGCGTTTGCACTTGCGAAATCAAATAGTTGAATATAAAACAAATAAACACTACACAAACAATGCCCGCACACAATACAGCATACCTGAACTGGAGGGTAGTGAGCAACCAGAGTACGTAGGCGTGAACACTGACGATCGTCCGTGAACTGCCCAATGTGAAAACAACCTGGCAGCACACAGAATAGCGCAACAGACGTAGCATGTCAACTAGTGCATATGCACGCAGACCCACAAGGCCAAACACACACACACACACACACACACACACACACACACACACACACACACACATGGCCAAACACCCACCCACACCCACACACACGAAGCTTCGTGTTCAGACCAGCAACAGCAGCGATGCAAACAGTGAAGCCGGCACAGTGCGGCTCATTCGCACGGCCTGCAAAGCACTGGAGGCGCATTGCCATGAGCAGTCTGGTAACCACACCGCGTTCAAGGCCTTCCTGCAAGCACACTGGTGTGGACGGTGTACCTCTGGCTCGCTTTGTGGGCAACCAGTTTAATATCTTGTTCCACAATGCGGGTGGAGTGTACCATCTGAAACACCACATGCTTGCGTTCTATGACACGGCATTTGGCACGCCGAACCGCCTGCATGCTGCTGTGCGTAGCGACCTGGGACAGAACTGTTACTTAGTTGACTGCCGCGCACTCGGCATTATCGACAAGCTGATCACTGGGCCCCTTTGGAGAGAGCTGACGAGAGCAACGATGTCAGACATCAGCAGCACGTACACTCAGTTGTGCAAGTGCCTGGAGAGCTGGCAGCAGGATGCGAGCGGCTTGCTGGGTGGCTGTGCTCGACCGTTCCGTGTATCGTCAGTGGCTGTGGATGATGTCCATAGTGAGCTGTTCCTTGAGTCCCAAGCCAATGATACCACCACGCTGGCTGTTCTCCAGATCATTTGCGTTGCTTTCAGCACCTACTCAAACAGGTTGCTGCAAGATCATCTACCACGTGGCATGTACCACGCCATGAGCGCTGAAGCAGCAGCAACATCATCGAGCGTGGCCACAACAAACGTCTGCAGTGAGCGTGCATTCGCCCAGCTCAAAAGGCTTATGCGGGAAAAGCCAAACGCATCATTAGTGGCCATCGAAGGCATCATACTGTTCAGTGCGAACAACACCAGCGAATGGCTCCAGCAGCAGTCCCCGGAAAAGCAGAAGGCTCTCTTCGCCAGCGCCATCATGGAGCAGAGCAGCATCGACAGCTCTATCACCAGCGCTGCAAAGCCATCACTGCACACCACCAGCAGCAGATCCAAGAAAAGCAACGGAAGAAGCAAGAGAAAGAAAAGCAGGATCTGCAGCTCAAACAGCAGCTCACTGACGAGGTAGGGAGGATGGGTCTCTGGGCAAGCCAAGATGAGGTCACCCTGAAGCTGGCTACCCTCCCTGCTTCTGCCGCGAAAATCCGTGCTTTGAAGAGCTAGATCCGGTACAGAAAGACGGTACTCAAATACACACACACCATCACTATCCGTAGCTGTTACCAGTGTATTAATGAAGAAGAATTCCTGTGTCTGTATGTCTCTCTCTCTCCCTCCCTCTCCCTCTCTCTCTCTCTCTAGGCTGCAAGGCATTTCTGGGCCTGATCGGCAAGGCCGACGAGATAGTGGAGCCCGCAATAGAAATGGTTCATTCGGCCCAGGCTCACCTTTGCCTCGTCACACAAGTCGCACCAACCAGCAGTGACCGACGGCGGTATGTTGCTCCTGTACTGTTCTAGCAGAGACTGAGTGTTGACATTCTTCTCAACTATACAACGGTCAGTGATTGTGTTTTTAATGTTCTTTATAAATTAGTGCTGAAACGATCGTGGATTTTCACCTATCGATTACTCTTTAGCTTACCGATCGATTATTCGATTATAATCGTTAGCAAATAGTGTCAGAATGTTGTACAAACATTACTCTGTTTCCAAAAGCTAGGCCTTCATAATACCAAAAATCTGCATTTGTGACAGGGTAGCTCAGAAACATGGCAGTTATAAAGTCGATTTAACCTCAGAACATGCACCATGCCCCTGGCAACTGCATACTCACAGTAAAACTGATTCAAACTTCACAAAAACGAGGGTTTTCAGTACTTTTTGGACAAAATCTCTAACGAGTAATCTTTATGAACTCGGATGGAAAGCCAAGGATTAATTTATAAAAAGTAAAAAGGAACCAAGGAACTGATTGTTTAGTAACTGGTGGTGCTAGTGGACATTATAGTGTAACTTGTAGTTCCTTGGTCCTTTTTCACTTTTTATAGAGTAATCTTTAACGTAACGATTACTTTATTGATAAGGAATTATCGATCGCTTACCGAGTAATTGGTGTAAGCGTTTCAGCCCTATTTATAATCTGGTTGGCAACTGGTGAGGCTGTGCCTGCGTTGGCGCATGCAGTTTGAATGCCACTGAACATATCCGTCAGTACCTCGAAACTTTGCTCGGCCGTTCCGGACTTCATGGTGGAGAGGCCAATGTTCAGGACGTTCTGGTCTTTACCACATGCAACTTGGGCGGCGTAGGACTTTTTCCCCTGCTTGCTAGTGCCGTCTCGGTGAAGTGTCAAACTTCCCTCACGGGCTAACACTTCGCCGATTTGGGCTAGCACAATGTGTTTGGATTCTGCCAGAAATGCTGACATCTTGGCTAAGCTTGGTAGTCGGTCAATGCTGAACGGCGCTAATGTGTTGATCACAGCTTTGATGACGGGAGATACATGGTTGATACCGAGGTTGTGTGCTAGCAGCTGGATACAGCAGAGTCTGACATTGTCATTGTAGCGTGGTGGTTTACCCTCCAAAGTGCGTATTTGTTGACGTACGGACTGTGCTTGCGGTCGCTTCAACTGGGAGCTGAGGAGTGTTATCTGCGGCTTTGCGTGGTCAAGCTCTGCGTGTAGCTTCCTCATCTTTGCCCGCAAAACCTGGTTTCGTAGACTGACTGAGCGATGCTTTGTCATCTACACTATCTTGATCCTGGATTCGCGAGCCGCTTCGTCAGGCCTGATAACCGATTGTTCAGCTCCTCTATTTGTTTTTTACTTGATTTTTTTCTTCTTCAGACGTACCAACTGCTTCACCACATGGCGTTTTCTGTCATGGGATTTTTTCAGTAACTCTTGCAAATCTTCATTGGAACGGTGCTCAACTGTTCTTGGTTCTGCTTGTCTTCCCAATGCGCGGCTTTTGAACCATGCCTGCATGGACAGAAGGACGTGTTGTGGATGGGTTAGTGTGTGTTCTGCATGCGCAGTGTCTGCCTTCATCACAGTTTCACCTGTTCAAATGTAAAGCCTTCAGGCGCAAGTTGTTTCAAATCTTGTCGCGCTGGCGCCTTGTACAGGCAATCTTCACATATTTCAGTTCCCTGACCGGAACCTGTGTAAGCGTGTTCATTGAAGAGGAAGACTCCATTAGCAACTTTTGAGAATATTTTTAATTCCCGGGATGAGTTCTATGAAAATATTACCTGGAATTTTCTTTAGGGCTGAAACAATTATACCGATAACTCGCATATCGATCGTTAAGAGTGCAATCGATAATCGTTAGTATTCGAAACGAGTGCTAACGATTTATTATGCATGCATATCAGTGACAGTATTCTAGCCCTTGCACTCCATCCAATAGTGAATACGAGTACAATCATGTACTTCCAAGCGCGGTAAAATTGATTTGTGGCTTTGAAAGAGGTCGGGAGAGAAGACTTTGTCTTTTTGGTTCATTTGTGTGAGAGGTTGGAGATAAGAGCAGTTGCCAGAGGGTGATGACAAGATTCTTTGCTCTAGAAACAACATTAAATTCTCTAGTTCATGTTGATAAAACCAGCCAGATTTCCACAGATGTCAACAGTGCGGTGCCACAAATTTCTAAGGTACCAAAGGTATCATGGAATTTCTTCATACACTGGTGTGCGAGGTACACGAGTAGAGCCGACAAGAATCGATAAAACCAATATGTCGATCGTTAATGATATTGGTTGATCGTCAGGAGTTATTGAATGATCGTTTCAGCCCTAATTTTCTTGATAACTGCCGATAATTTATCAGGGCATTTGCTAAGTGTGCTGGTATCTGAGGATTTCCAAATAGCATGCCACTTATTGCAGCACTTCCTTGCAAACAGGCCACCTGTTGACCTTCTTTGGGTGCGTCTGAAACTTGCTGATTTTGCTTTAGCCATGCCAGGCAGGTCCTTTCGAAGACTTGGGCCCCTAGTCTAGACAGCTATGACCAGCCTTGAAACAACTAGCAAAGGTCCTCGAAATTACTAAGTGCTCACTGCCGTAGAGAACCACCACGTGTGGTGACCAAGTTTTTGTTTCAATTTCCGTGTGAAAACGCCTCCGTAGATTTCCTCCTATCTTGGCACGCGTAGTCCACATGGTCTGGCCAAATCAATGTCTTCAAAAGAGGATTTCCCTGGTTAGATCTTGCCAGGTACCAGCCGATATAGTACGATGTCCAGCTGACGATAGTCCATTTTTGAGCTGGAAGAAAGTGCCTCGCAAAACCTGTGTGCGAAGTCGAGAACAGTGTAATGATGAACGTATTCGTAGTAACCTCTGTAGCCATCACCCAGCGTCGTAGAGGCAAGCTATGAAGTAACTCGACTCTAGCTGGTCTTCTTCCTCAGACACTTCTTCGCCATTCCGTCCTTCTTTTCCATCCCGATTTATTTACGAGTTTTTTTCGGTTTGGATGGTCACGGCTTGTTGGCCGCGTCTAGATATGCAAGTGATCATCTGCGCAGTGCGTTCGCTGATATCCCTACCTGGAGTTTTCCTACCAGCAAAGAACTCCAGTAGAATAACAATGCCGCATCCGGTGTCGCGCTTCCGAAGGTGCCTCGGCATATTGACTCAGTGTGGAAATGTCACTAACCGATAGTGGTGTCGATGAAGCAAACGCCATACTGCGGAACACCAGCACACTCACTAGATGCCTGAAAACAGAACACACGCAGCCGAAAAATCAATATCAGTGTATGCGTGTGTGTGCGTGCGCGTGTATGCATGAGTGTGTGCGAGGGGGGGGACATACACTACGATTGCCACACGAGAGACAGTTTACAATTGCCATAAAAGGGAAAAAGGGCAAAGCATTCCCTTCGGATGGAACGGAGGACACCAAGAATGTCTCATGAATCCGATTATAGTAGAGCTATCAGTGAATACACCAGACATGCACAGGGGGAAATTACGATGTAGTGTAATTGTGAACGAGCTACGGACACATGGCTGACAAACAATTTGAAAGCTCAAACGGGCACCCTTCGGTCCTGTGTACAAAAGAATACAAACAGCCAGACGGCAGGCTCTCACCTTCTCCGTAATGGCCAGCAGGTACGCGTTGGCAGACTCGGACGACGTGTCGGCATCCATGAAGTTGTAGGTCTTGGTGCCGCGCGTGACAATAGAACAAATCTCACGGCGAACTGTTTTGTCGCCCTTGCCAATAGCTGAAAGACAAGAAAAGGACGAGAGCATAAGAAACTGGGGAATAAAGGATCGTATTGAGGACTGATTGTGTTCGATAAGAGATCGCTAGTGGTACGAGTCTACCTGGCATACTGAGTACGCACCATCATTACATGCCTGGAAAGTACGCGACTACAGACACTATCTGTACGGTACAACACTACTAGTGATTGGTTGACAGCAAGGAGTTAGGACGCGCTGTGTTGAAAACACTGCCCCTGACTACCACCATCATCGGTTGGCAGAGCCACCTTGTAACATGCCGTCAACCAATCAACACGTTAAACAACCAAACAAGGCCTACCTATACAACACTACTATTGTGTGAAAGTGTCATACATAACACAGGATTTCCGGTAACATTGGTGATGCCGACATTTGCCACAGCAGCATGCTGAAAACAAATATAGGCGCTGCTGCACTCTACTGCACTCGTGTGTACTTCAATACGTCGATTACTTGTCAGTTCACAGTTCAAAACGGAACATCCGTAAAATTGTCTACGGTACTGCCCCGTCGTTGGCTGGAAAAGAAGTAATGCAATGTCAACACTGAAAGGAAGTGTTTGCTAAACCCTGGCCCTCTGTTGTTCAAGGATGGAGAGCCAAGGATTCATTCATAGTAAAGAAAAAGACCAAAGAACTCGGTCAGTGTCGTGCAATGCTATCGCATGAGCTGATTGTGAAGTACTTGTAGGTAACTGGTGGTGTTAGTGGACATTGCAGCGTATTTGTAGTTCCTTGGTCCTTTTCTTTGTTGTTCACTCACTTTTCTTATTCCGCTCCTCCAGCATCTGCGGCGTTTCCGTTTGCTCCACTCTCGCAACCCTGTGCACATCCACAATCGTACCAGAGAGTACTAGTTACATGTGTACATGTATTGTACTGAAGAGCAGGTTCAAGACTCTGATTGCATTCTATGTGGCGGTTAAAACAGCCAATACCAGCCAATACACAGTTTTAAGGCAAGGCACTGGAATCTGGGTAATGTAAATAAGGGAATTCTAGAACGGACGGAATTGTGTGTCACCGAACGCCCCCCAAAAAGCCCATTGCGCAATGACGTAATCTGTACCATAAACACCCCACACAGCCACCTGGGCATGGTCGTCTGGGGTGTTGAACAGTGCATTCCTGATCCCAGCGTACTCACATGCATTACTCATACCTTCCATATTTGGCAATGCGCAATGGGCGTATAGTGCTGTGCTGAAACACAACACAACAACTTACCTGTAACCTTTCTGCACTAGCTGGTCTGAGTAGCGGCCGAATCCAATTTCCGGAAAGCCAGAATGACAGTATGCGCCCTAAAACGCGCACGCACGCATCCACACAAAAATCACGGACATGACGCCGGGCATGTGACAACGTGTGCATACAACAATACTAGTTACAATACCTATTGAGAGACAAATGGGACCATGTGCATATCCCAGCATATGTATAGCAACTACATACACACTCTATTCATTCCTGTTGGGCTTAGAAAGCCTGATTTTTTTTCCGAATGAAGGCTCAAACCCCATTATAAATTCGAAAATCTAGTTTTGGGATTCTCCGCACATTATGCAATGGTATACCCATCCAGCTGTGGTAAAACCTGACCGAATTTTGAACTCCCAATATCGGGACTTTCTCAGCCTCGAACGTGTCCAGAAAGAATTGCACGGGTCACACAAGGTACCATTGATTTCACTACATCACTATATCACTAGGTGTGAGACATCAAAACGTTAGGGAGCTAATTTAGTTTCGGACGAACAGACCAGAACCTATCCTAGACTCCGCCGACAAGCTACAAACGAGCGAAATGTTTGTCCCGAGGGTGGTAACAAATAAGCAAGTATCGCTGGCGAGCGTGTTATCATCGACGTGGTGGTGTATGCAAGACATATGAGAGCCGGTCACTAGCGTAAGGTTGTGGGGGTGAAGTTCAAATTCTTACTGGCCTCCTGTCATTGGCACACAGCTACAAATGCATAATGTGCGATGAGCCTGCAGTCAAAACACGTGCGGTGAGTAAAAAGGACGGTGAGAAATGCGGTATCTTGACCGTACCAGTTCTCGTAGAAAATGCACGTACATACCTTCATGGCTAAGAGGCCGAGCTCCTTGATTCCTACGGCGGCGTCCATGTGGTAGAGCTCATAGAACTTACCAACCTGCCGGGAGAACATGGAGATGCAAGTAGGTAAGAAACAAAGAACTAGGAACGTTATCAACAGTCATCACCAGCCAGGCAGACAGAAAGCAACGACCCAAGATCTTGATGACACTGAAACTATTGAGATCTATGGATCCGTTGCGATGCTGCGAATCAGAAAACTAGTTCACACGGTGGAGAATGCAGGGCAGAACTGGAGCACAGAATGAAAAGCTGCAGCACCAAGAGTGCTATGCTCTAGTCTGTTCTGCATTCAGCACAGACAGTGCGATTGGGCACAGAGATCACTGACCTAGTTGGCAATACGGTGACACCAGGACACACTGGAATCTCTATCATGGAACACAGTACTACAGTCAGTCTCGTGAATACCAACCTCAGGTATACCAGCAACTCACGAATAACGACACAATCTTCAGACCTACTGACCATTTGACTGTATACTTTCAACATCATGAATAACGACAATTTTCTCATGCCAGGTCAACAAGGCAAGAATGCCACGTCAAGACACAACACAGTACCAACATAACAACAACAACACCACCACCACCACCACCAACAACAACAACACCACCAATGTTACCTTGAAGAAGAGAATCGCATCGTAGTTGTCAATCTTCATCTTCCACCACTGTTGCATTGCCGGCGACTGTTTGCTGAGGAAGTCACGTGGGACCTGACACCACAAACACAGCATTGCACAACGGAGACAACCAGGCGAACATGCACCAGTGCATACACGTACTTAGCCTGTGCCCATGTGTTTGGAAGTTGACAGATGGTGCGAGCAAGCTTGGGGCAACATGCTTCCAACTTCCAAGTGCCACAAAAGCAATACTTTTTAGCTGAGGTACTCAGCTATGCATGTAAAATTTGACCAGAAGGTCAATTACGCAAGGTGGCACACATGAAAAAACCCTCAAAGAATGTCACCGTAAAAGTACCCTAGGATGCTGCTCGAGTACGCCATCACAAGAGCGGATGACTGTACAGGTCAGACCTCGCTATAGCGACCCCCGCTATAACATAAACCTCACTATAACGCACAAATGTGAATGTCCCTGCCGAAACCGCATCACTTCTGCACAAAATTTCCTCGCTATAACATAATCCGCTATAGCGTAATGTTCGCTATAACGCACTGTTTGCTGGGTCCCGGGCGCACGGAGACCTCAGCATAACGTAAAAACTCGTACCGACATGTATAAAAATGACTATGTACACGGCATGCATGCCCTGTGAGCCGTCCACCTCGGAAGCAGGGAGTAGTAAAATACCGGTATTTTACTACTCCCATTACTTTTTATAGGCTCTAATCGTCACATCACGACTCACATGTACAAGTACTGTACACGCACTACATGGCTCTTGTCACCCCTTTGCTGACAAGCCTGTACACCTGGTACACATGTGCACATCTTTGCTAGTCATCATCATACTTGTATGTAAAACAGTACAGTTGTAATCAGTAAGTGAAGAGCGTCATTTTGACATACATATTGCATATTGGTGTGCCGAACTCACTATAACATAAACCTCGCTATAACATAATTTCTCCCATACCCCAGAGATTACGTTATAGCGAGGTTTGACCTGTAAATGGGTCATAGCATAATCATCATCATGCCATACCGCAGTACAATCACTATACCCAGCTTGCTATATACTGCTGCAGACAAGAGCTGAGCATGCAGAGCGATGCCAGCATCAGCACTACAAGAAGCGAACATGCAGTGCGTAGCAGTGCTGCAGTGCATGCCACCTGGAGCGCTTGGGTCACAATGAAGCCGAGACCGTATGGTCGGCAAAGCTGCCCCTGGCCTTGCTCCCACTCCTGCCATTCTATTTGTCTTATCGCTGCCTTGCTGCTTTGTGCCGTCAAATGGTGTGTGTGTTTTTTTGTATAAAATAAATAAAATAAAACATAGTCTAGGCCAGGATAAGCAATATAACTCACATAGAGAGTGCGAGGGTCGTAATCCGGATGAGACTTCAAGTGTCCTTTGGCATCTCTGCAAAGAGGAGAAGAACAAAGGGGAGGGGGCCAAATAGTCCTGAGGCGTGTCAGAGCTAAACAGGCACTCCCAGGTGGCGAGCGGCCTGCAAGCCCACACTAGAATCAAAAAACTTCTTATTATAAACAAGGTGTGTGTGTGTCTGTGTGTGTGTGTGTGTGTGTGTGTGCGCATGTGCATGTGTGTGTGTGTGTCCGTGTGTTCACTGAAACAGGAACGGATGGTCTTACTTGACTTTCTCGTCCTTGATCCAGTCCAGTGTCTCGTGCATGTACACAGTACCCAGCTCTGTGGAATCAGCAGCAGAGGTCGGCGCGGGAGACGACACCACCTACACACAAACACATAAGGCACGCCGATAATGCTGAAGGGGAGGGTAACATCAGAAGAAATAAACGGAATTGCCATGCAAACGAGAACCAACCAGCTTTGCAAAGCTCGTGACAAGCTCACTTGAAGCGGTACCATATTGTATGATAATCTCTGCAGCATTTGTAGTGGAACGAGGCCAATGACTCAATCAATACGCCGGCCGTGTCGCTGCTGTAGCTGCTGCATGCATGCATCAAGCCCAATCAAGTCGATGTGAGGGCAAGACGTGTATTCAAATCAGATAGTTCTACGCATGACAAGTTGCCAATGCATAATATAGCATGCTGTGTGCCGAACATCTGTCATCCGTCTTTCTCACACATCATCAGGTTTGTATTTTCAGAAAGAGTGTTCAGAACGAGACAGGACTTACTACCTGACAGTAAGCATACGGAGGAAAAAAAGATCAACTGCGCTGTCCGATGATCACTTATGCATGAAATTATTAAGAGTCACAGCTGCACAGTTTTCAATCCATGTGTATAAGCCTCTGCACCGCAGTGTAGTGATCTGTCTAGCTGTCTCTCTTTCTCTGTCTCCCTCCCTCTGCCTCTACCTCTACCTCTGTCTGCTTCTGCCTGTCTCTGCCTCTCTCCGCCACAACTTGCTTGAAGTGTAACTGTTACAGGAGAGCACTGTACTTACGGCAGGACTCTGGAACTTTGAAAGTGAGGATGCAGCCGCCATAGCAGAGAATGCATTCATTGACGAGCTTGATGATGGGCTCTTCAACTGCGTGGAGGAGCTTGGAGTTGTCAACCCTAACACATCCCAAAAGCAGACACAAGCCACAATAGAGGTAGGACACGACTGTTCGGCTATCGCCGCTGTAGACACTGGCCAGACATAAATTAGTTTTGGAGCGCCTGTTATTAATTTGACCCATTTGTCATATGAAGCCTGGGCATAAAGGCCGCGCACGGTATTGCTATGGTTATGGTCATGGCTGTATGATATCGTGTTGAATGCTTGTGAGTGGCAAGGTGACAGGACAGTAAAAGGTTTAGCACTGACCTCTTGTGAAGTACTGTTTTCGCTTTGTCAAAGCGGCTGCAGTTGTGTCTCAAACCCTGGGGAAATGGAACCCGCAAACAACCACTCCCCCTCCCCAGGACACACAAAGCAAACGCAATCGTGCATACCCTGAGAAAGAGAACAGGCTCTGCGCGGTGTCACAGGCGTCTTTCCTGCTGTAGCCGCTTTGCTGGTTGACTTGGAACGACTCCCGGCACCTGTTGATGGATGTTTGCGCTTCCGGGAGGGCGTTGGCTGTAAAAAGGACACGGACAAGATAGAAGAAACGTCATGTACAACGAAATCCACCTGTATTTTTAACGGTTCAAGGTTCGAGAATGAGTATTAAACAAAAAACAAGGAGCAAGATAGTATTCGTAAGAGCTTGCGGCAAAAAACTTGCACAAATAAACAGAGTAAAAAAATCCTTATTCGCATGCGGTGGTCGATAGGAGACTCGTATTGAATGCCTAGAGCATGGCAACTTCTTGGGATTATATTGCCAACTCTGAACCTGCAAAACAACTACCAATAGCGGCCATGATTTCTCAAAAACCAACTGGTTTGAGATAAATTTTCATTACACTACACTGCGCACGCGTACTATGGCTGTGCCACATCATGTCCGCATGCACAGCTGAGTTAGAAATTGCATCACCAAATGTACCTCATCATCTTCATCGAAGAGGTCATCGGGATCAATACCATCCAAGGTGTCATCCTCCTCAGCACAACTCAATTCTTCATCATCGTCGTCGCTGTCTTCTTTTTTGTCTGGGACGTACCCATCTGAACAACGAAATGTCAACAAAACGAAAGACAGAAACAAGAATGATACACCTGTTAGATCACTGAAGAGACTCGCACATATGGGCAACACAAAATGATCAAACAAGACGGAGATTTTCTGCCACGGATTTAACCCGGAGAAGAAGAAACAGACAAGCTGTCACAGCGGCCATGATATTCTCATGTCCGGCTCAGTAATAGCAAGCGTCGAGCCACTCACCAGAGTCGTCTGAGTCCGACGCGATCACCGTCTTGCGTCGCTTGGCAGCGCCCTGGCTGGATGCTCTACGCGATGGACGTGATGAAGACCGCTGAATGCATACATGGCATGAGCACAACACACAAGTCAGTCAGGCAGGAGTACCGTATTTCCACGATTATAAGTCGCACCCCCATTTTCAGGTTTGAGCAATATTAATTTGATACATTGACTTCAGTAGAAATTCATGCTCGATTAAAAGTCGCCCCCCCCCCCTTTTACCCTTGAATTTTAGTGTAAAAAGGTGCGACTTCTATTCGGGGAAATACGGTGTGTACAGCATGCATGTACAGTGTTCTATGCAAGATTTCAGAGAGAGAGAGAGAGAGAGAGAGAGAGAGAGAGAGAGAGAGAGAGAGAGAGAGAGAGAGAGAGAGAGAGAGAGAGAGAGAGAGAGAGAGAGAGAGAGAGAGAGAGAGAGAGAGAGAGAGAGAAGAGAGAGAGAGAAAGAGAGAGAGAGAGGGAGAGAGAGAGAGAGAGAGAGAGAGAGAGAGAGAGAGAGGGAGAGAGAGAGAGAGAGAGAGAGAGAGAGAGAGAGAGAGAGAGAGAGAGAGAGAGAGGCATAATCCTGAGCAGAAGGTGCTATCAAATCGAGTGCTCGCCACATTCAGATGTTGATCTAAGGAATCTCTGCAACAGCTGTCCCTACAAAGGGAGAGCCAATCAACTCACCCGAAAAGCAGGCATTTCCTCGTCACTGCTCTCATCCATACCCTTGCTGCGCACCGCGGATGCACTTGTACTGTTTCGCGCATTTTCTTTGTCATCATCTGACACCTCGGTAACCTGTGGGAGTAGAACAGTCATTATACATACACAGACGGGAAGATGGACAGACAGACAGAAACAAACACACACACACACACACACACACTGTGCTTCACTGTACTTGCTCACTGCCATAAACTGGTCACGTGGGTCTCCCCTTGGGAGAGGGGAGAGAAATTCAGGAGAAATCTTGGAAAGATGACTCAATTGGCTATTGAACTGCCCAAAGGCAGACATCTCCTGAAATCCCCAAACCCTGGGGGGGGGGGGGGGGGGGGGGACTTGGGGAGAGGGGAGAGAAATTCAGGAGAAATCTTAGAAAGATGACAGTATGCACGGAAAGCCAGTCTCGGCAGAATAGTGTTCTAACCTGCAGGTCAAAACCAACTTTGAGGGATAGCCTGGTCTCCCAGAAAGAATACAACCGGACAAACACTAAACGGGACAGCCAACACACTTACATCCATAGGTTCTTCTTCATCTTCTTCCTCCTCGACCTGGGCACGGCTAAGAACAGCTTTGGGGAATGAGGCAAAGCGCTGCTCCACGCTTAGCTTGGAAAGCCTTGCCGCTTCCTCCATCGCCTCTTCCAGGCCCTCATCCTGAGCAGCAGGTGTGGCCAGACCACCCCTGGCGCCATTCGAATTGAATGCACGGATTTTCCTGCCCATAAACAGCATGGCAAACAGGGAAGAACAATTAAGTTTACGAGGCACCGGAGAATTTTATGATAGAAAACATGGGAGGATGAGAACAAAGCGCACTAAAACGCCACTTAGTGATCATCGTTGGCTGTGTCAACTCTCGCAACGGCGGTGGAATGAATTTAAAAAAAGGGCAGCGCATGCCATCCCATTTAGCCCTAGGGTAGTTGGCAACCGTTTGCAGCCGAGTGCAAGCAACCAGCTCATCGTCAAAAGCATGTATGTGTGTGTACGTGTTATGAGGTTAGATTTCATTCGCCGCAACTAACTGTACATGTATGCGCATTTGCTGGTGTGCACGATGAATCAGAACGGCAAACAGCCACCTTTCGGAGCTCGTGGAAACAGCAGCGTGCGTGCAACAATGGAACTTTACAATTCACGAGATAATCCCTTAAAATTTGAGCCAATCTCAACAGCGGAGTGAGGTGGCACTGAATCCCGATCCAAAGGTCAGAGCGACACATGAAAACTTGGTGCCACTACACGTAGTGATCGCAAAGTGGGTGGCAACAAAAATAAATAAATGAATGAATAAATAAAGGATACATCCTCCGCATTAATTGTGACCTGGATTGATTAGCTTACACCGAGGGTACCCACGCGTGTGAGTGCTCGCCAAGAAACAGGACTTTCTGCTGCTTTCGGGAAGACTTCCTGGCCGCAACCACTACCACAGCCGGCCAGAAGGGATGACCCAGCACCTGTGCCATAACCAGGTGGCCCTCAGTAAACTGAGTTCTGCTGGGCGTTCCTTTGTCAGCTCGTGGAGCCGCTGGTTGTCGTGTCGGTGTTAGAACCACTGTTGGGTTAGGAGACGGCTTGCCATTGCTATTTGTCTTTCCAATACTCGTCGGGCCACTCTGTGAGCTACTGCTGCTGTTCGCTTTCTGCGAACTGCCCTGCGTCTTTGAAAAATAATTGAGCAGAGTGTTGCCACCTTTGCCTTTCGGCGTCTTCTGCTGCGACGACATTTTCCCAGGCGTTCCAAACATGTTCAAAGGTTACGGTTCAACAATATTGGAGCTCAGTAGGCATATTCTTGCCTGAAGAACTGAGGTAGTACTTCCTCCAGCACTCATGCAGCAGACCAATGAAAGCAAAATGAGAAGACTTCTCATTATTTTAGTGTTCCTGATTTTCAAGCCAGATAAAGCCTTCACAATCATGTACATGCACACGTGTTGCATTTGGCGAGTTTGAGTTTTCGCGCGGTTTCTGTTCCCGCGCGTACCATCTGCATGCCATGCGCTAGCAGGTTTTTTTACTGAAGATGTAGCGCTAGAATAATGATTACAGGTAGTAGATAGCTGCAGCGCTGTAGCACTAGCAGCTACCGTATTTAGCTACTCGTCGTAGTGCACTGAGTCTGTACAGACGTAGACTAGACATGCACACTCACACTGACTTTACGGTCATAATGTTACCATACTAAAATAGTGCATACTGGCTGCTGGCTGCATAGAGTAGTACCAAGAGTACATAACCCCCCATGTACTCTTGGTAGTACCAAGAGTCCATACTATATACTCCAAGTCCAAGGCTGCAGAAAGTCTATCATGGTCTATGGGCCGATCATGCCGTGTGTACTTGCGAATTCAAATAAAAATCATACACAGCTTGCTGTCTACAGCATTGGGCATACATACATATACATACATACATACATACATACAGTCATGTGAGTACAGCAGTCGAAGAAACACTCACATCCAACCAGGCAACCTTGTCAAGGTTGGATGTGAGTGTTTCTTCGACTGCTGTACTCACATGACTGTATGTTACATACTACATACTGTCCTTGACCCCTGCCCCTGGCGATGGCATGGCTCCCCGGCCCCTGTAAGGCTGTAGGCTGTACTGCTGCATGCTGGCGTTGGATCCATGGAGTTGGACATTTCGACATGCCTGGTTTCGCCTTCAAAAAAAATTAATAATTGCAGAAACTGATAGTGATGACTGATAGGCCGCGTCGATCGTGTGCCTTGCTGCTTGCAGCCTGTCTGTACAGACTGTAGTGAAAAAAATAATTGCAGAAACTGATAGTGATAGGCCGCGTCGTGTGCCTTGCTGCTTGCAGCCTGTCTGTACAGACTGTAGTGAAGACTGTCGTGGAAGCGTCGACTGCGGCTTGGTATCTGTGACACCGTCTCTGTCCTGTTCCCCTATCCGCCGCGTAGATCTACGCATTGGTGTCGGCCACTCACCGTGGAAGGCAGAACTTTGAGGCAACAATTTTCTTTGAAATATTTCAGAGCTGTATCATAGTGTATGGAATAAATTTGTTTGGATGTTGCGGCGGAACCTGCTTGGTAATGTCGACCACTCAGGAAGAGGCCGAAAGCGTGCCCAAACCAGATGACGTTCTGGATCAGCCTCGGGAGGCCATGCCTAGCCCTGATGGACAGGAGGAGGACGACGAGGAGCTGGACCCAAGAGTCAAGGCAAGTGCTCACATACCCCTCTAAGTGCACTGTGACAATAGTGCTTTTTAGTGACTCGAAAACTGGAGCTATTGAGAGTCCTCGTCACACATGTAACGTTGCCGAAGACAACGTTTTTGCGAACTAGTAGGATGTTGTGTGTCGAGGTGCACCATATGATCGTACTTCGTCCAGGTCACGCACCGGGAATGACTGATTGTACTTACTGTTTGCAGTTTGTACGGTAGGTCGGCGCTAGTTTGACGAAATGCCGTGTTGCCTGTTGGGAATGAAGTATAAAGTAGTTGTTTAGAATAAGATGGGTGGCTCGTGGGCTCGGCGGCTGATCAGCCCAACCTGCTGATTCTGAAATGTTTGTGGGAGAGTGTGGGATGCAGGATTCCTTTGCGTCCTGTGATAACTGGTATGAACCTAAAATGAGGTGGTTTGCTCGTGCGAGTGGTGGGCCATGTGCTTCGCACTTGAAGGTGCGTCCGGAATGTGTGCCTGCATGGCTAGGGGGAGGTACTTGAAATCAGGTGATGTAGACATGCTACTACTAGTACTAGGAGTAGTGGCGAGAGGGCAGCTGCCTGGAAAATGAATCAGATCCTTGCAGACAGTACTGATCAATGAAGTGTGTTATGTGTGTGTGGGGGGGGGGGGGGGGGGCGTTTATGTTGGAAAATTCCTTTATACTACATGCATTATAGAGTCCTTCAAAAAATGCTATGAGCATAGTACTGCTGTAAATGTGCCATGAGAGTATTTGCATCTCACCGTCCTTGTATGGTTTGATTTCCAGCCATGGAAACCCTTGAGACTACGGCGAGAGAACGTCCGCGTAGCCTTGACAGTATCTCCCATTCTAGTGCAAAGTCCATGGTAGAAAAGTAAAGTTTCGCCTCCACTCCCGACGGTCGCTAACACCCCGAAATTCAGCGGCAGATGCGGCGCCTAACGGTATGGGTGAGGGGATATGTCTCGCAACCGCCAACACAATTGTCGAAACCCTCATTAGCCGCATTATTGTACCCCATTGTGCCTGGTCACAAGTTTCCAGTTGACTATGGGTAGCAGCACGGCTGGAAAAAACAATCTCAGGCAGGACTTGGACCAGGTACCTCAATCATGGTTTTAGAGTTTAGACCAATTCACTGTGCTTGCCTGATCATGGTAGGCACGGTATAATTTACCTTTCAGGGCAAGTCGAAAATCGGCAAACCAGAGGATTTTCTCACTCTTTCTGTTGCGTTGCCATGCTGCAAGACAGATCAAGGTCCCTTTTCGCAGCTCTATAGACTTAAATCCTCTGGGAAGTGAAATTTTGAACTCCTATCCTGGCCAGAGAAATTCAACCTCATGAATACATAGCTCCAGGCACCACGTGACGGCCCTAGCACCACGTGACGGCCCTAGCACCACGTGACGGCCCTAGCACCACGTGACGGCCCTAGCACCACGTGACGGCCCTAGCACCACGTGACGGCCCTAGCACCACGTGACGGCCCTAGCACCACGTGACGGCCCTAGCACCACGTGACGGCCCTAGCACCACGTGACGGCCCTAGCACCACGTGACGGCCCTAGCACCACGTGACGGCCCTAGCACCACGTGACGGCCCTAGCACCACGTGACGGCCCTAGCACCACGTGACGGCCCTAGCACCACGTGACGGCCCTAGCACCACGTGACGGCCCTAGCACCACGTGACGGCCCTAGCACCACGTGACGGCCCTAGCACCACGTCCACTATAGAGGTTTATACGATTACATCATCAATTCAGATGCTCTGGTGAAGTCGTGGTGGAGTGATGCACTAGTGACTCATGCTGCATGCATAGCGACCATAAGCAGTTCAGCTGATCCACGCTGCGTACATCGCACTCATAAGCGGTTCAGCTGATTCACGCTGCATGCATAGCACTCATAAGCGGTTCAGCTGATTCACGCTGCATGCATAGCACTCATAAGCCGCTGGTTCCGCTGAGTCACCACAATGACATCAATCCCAAAACCTCTATTCCTTACACTGGAACGTGGCGCTACTTTATTCATGAGGTCAAGTTTCTCTGGCCAGAACTGCACCACCAAACGGCTACGCTATCCTTAGCCTGCTCTTCCATGAACAGGTATGCAGCATCGTTTGCCGTTCTCTACGTTGACTGTTTGAAGTGGAGCTGAGTATACTTCTCTGCTTGAGGTTGACACCAAAGCAGTGCATACGTCATGTGACCTAATTGTTGAACAGTAGCAACGAAATGAATGGCACAGTGTGCAGTCTTCCGCCAGTGGCAAGGAGACCCTGATATTCTTTGGTGAATTCCTCATCCATCATGCTACCCATTCACCTAGCAATGGCCTTATATGTGCCGGGTGTTTGTTTATCGTTGTTCTGTGTACTTCAGGATGAACTAGACCGACTGAATACTGCAAGTGAGAACATTAACAAATACGAGAAAGCAATTGGGGTGAGTACATTGAGTGCGTAATATTCTTCTTGGCTTTGGTAAAATATATATTTCATTGCCGTCAGGTTCGGCCTCATTTTCTCTGTGCTGCGCTGATGAGTCCACAAAGGACGAAACAGTTCGATCCGCAGATTGAGTATTCTTCATGTTATTGTGTTATCAGTGCAGACTGCTGTGACAGTAGGCAGCCTGGTAGTCAACTGGTGTGCTCCGATGCCGCTCATGTGCAAAGTGTGTGTGTGTGTGCGCGTGCTCGCGCGCGCATGCGCGCATGTGTATGTGTGTGTTGTGTGTGCGTGCGTATGTGTGTGCTTGCATGTGTGTGTGCGTGATTGTTTCTATGCCGGGTTATGTACATGGCACATTGTTTGTGCATCTGCTCACAGGATGCAAGGGAGAAGTTTAAGGCGATAACGGACGAAGCATTCCGGATATTAAATGGAATCAAGAAGTCACGGGAAAAGTCTATCGCCAAAGCTCGGCCGTACTTTGAACTACGGAAACGAGCCAGACGAGTGAGTGACGAGGACGAGGTTGTGCATCTATTTTTAGATTATTTTGATATGGTGGTAATGTGTGCAGGCCAAGTGTGATAAGTATCACTTCTAACGGACACTTCTTCCGGCGCACATGAAGATGGCCGAATGGCTCTCTCTTCCTCTCGCTCTCGCTCTCTCTCTCTCTCTCTCTCTCTCTCTCTCTCTCTCTCTCTCTCTCTCTCTCTCTCTCTCTCTCTCGCCAAAATTCTGTCGCAGCAGGACTGAAAATCACCAGGAAGTATGAGCTAATGATGTTGACATATTTTAATAATCATACAGCAGTCGTAGGCTGGTGGAGAAACACGATGATGAGGTGCAATGCCAGCACCGCTGCCTGCAACATGCAACCAAGTGCAAATTCTCTCTGTACCCGAAGGACAACTAGCAACGGCCGCTACCACCTGGAACGAATCCGTTTAAAATTAGGTGGCGAACAGAACGTAGCGTTTTCATCGGATGTCAGCCACCAAAAGATTTGATTCAATCCTGGACCTCGTAAGGCGTTTGGACGGTACACGGCGTCGTTAACTACGGAATGCGTTGTGGACTGGACAAGGCGCTGCGATCTATGTAAAGTGTCACGTACCAGATAGGGCACTGCGGACCGGATAGAGCACCGAGGCCTGGATACAGCGAAGTGGATATGATATGGGGTTGTGGACCGGATATGGGGCTTCGGATCGGATATGGGCCTGCGGACCAAATACGGGGCTGTGGAACAGATACGGGGCTGTGGATTGGATGCAGGGCTGTGGACCGGATACGGGGCTGTGGACTGGATACGGGGCCGTGGACCGGATATGGGGCCGTGGACCGGATACGGGGTTGTGGACTGGATATGGGGCTGTGAACCAGATACGGGGCTGTGGACCGGATACGGGGCTGTGGACCGGATACGGGGCTGTGGACTGGATACAAGGCTGTGGACTGGATACGGCATCTGGGCTGTACAGGGCGCCCAAGTATCATGTGGTTAATCGACTGTTACAACACGGCTGCATCCATTAGTTTGCTGTTCTTGTGTTTTGTCGCAGGCACACATCGATGCACAGCGCTCGGCGCAGCGTTACGAGAAGATGTCCAGCATGCACAAAGCAGCGCGTGAAACGGTGGCAAAGGCCGAGGCAAACGTCATGGCTGGCAAGAGTGATCAAGTTGCGACCGGTATTGTTGGTCAAGACTCGATGGCGTGGATGGAGGTACTCAACCATGCGACGTTAAAGGTCAGTGTTGTCTGCAGCACTACGAGGTGTGTGCTCTAGGACTCCTCTCTTCCAGACCTCCACACTATTGCAGTACGATTGCAATGAGGTGCTCTATGTTCTGCTGAGATGCAGTGATAAGCAGTGGGTGTTGTCGTCCTCGACGTCGTCGTCATTTTCCGTGACTATGAACATTATGGTCGTTGTCATGTTGGTCTCCTCACGCACTCCAGGTGATGGAAAGCGAGAAAGAAAGGCGGCGTTGCGAAGAGGAACATCTGACGGCGTCGGACCACTACTCCCAGTTTGAAAAACGCATACATGTTCTCTACAAGGACAACAAGAGAAGCATCAAGAACGCAATGTGAGAGAGAATGTTGGTGAAAATTTGTGCAGCTGTCGGTTTTTAGAGAAGCATGACAAATTACCGCCTGCTTCTGGCTATCTCTGGTGTGTGTATGAGTACATGTGCGTGTGTGGTGTGCGTGTGTTTTTGTGTTGTGTGTGCACGCGTGCATGTATGTGTGTACATGCATGTGTGTGTGGTATACAATAATGTGTGTCTGTGGGGAGGGGGGGGGGGGGGGGCAGTATTTGCACATCAGTGTGGTATGTGTATTGTATATGCATGTAAGCGAAGGTTATAGCTTGTGTGTTTCTGAACATTCAAGTGATGCTAACGCGGATCCCGCGAATATTATAATTAGTATTATGTATGTGTGCATGCATGTGTATTGTATATGCATGTATGTGTGCATGCATGTTTGTGTCTCCACACTACTTTATACCTGACCGTACTGGTTTGTGCTGCTCTCCTGTCTGCCCGTGTTCTTACGCAGGCCATACTTTGAGCAGCATGCCAAGTACTATCTCCAGCTGGAGGTCAGTTGATGTACACGCATCATGTACACAAAGTACTCGAATCTATAGCTAGAGGTATCAGAAAAACCTGGCTTTTATTTAAAGAAACCTCTGATTTTTTTAAGCGACCACTTGACTTTTTTCCTGCGTTCCCAGTATATTGGGGTCCGTTGGACCCCAGTCGTACTTCGTCGAGTATTCATGAACCCAGTCGATATTTTGGAGTTTTTGTTGTTTTTTCTATTCGCGTATGCCATTGCTGAATACAGAACTGCTTTCTTCGGCAGAAAACTAGAGTATGACGTGAAGGAGACATGAAACCTGGAACTGAATATTTCCGATATATAATGAAAAGTGGTGAAATATGGAAACAACAAATTATGTTGGGTTGGCACGCTCAGGTGGTTCCCTACTATAATACAAGAACTGTTTTTTTTGTGGAGTTGGAACTAGGTATTTTGGCAACTACTGTTCAAACAGGCTAGATACATCAAGCACAAACGCGGGGTCCATTCGGAGCCCGGACACATATTTTTAGATCATGCAAATACCGTACTCACTCGATTAGAAGCCCCTCTTGAATAATAGCCCCCCCTACAAGGACTGTTTGAGAAAATACAAGCCCCTCTCGAATAGAAGCCCGGACTACTATTCGCGAAGCACAGGGTGACCAGGTAGTGCCATGTATGTTAAGGTCAAGTGCGCAAAAACTTCTTGTACATGCACATATTGGTACATGTCCTGGTCGATGTAGTGTGTGCAAACTAACTCGGCGCCGAGTTGCTGTGAATATATAATTTTAGAGATTCGATTGGAATACTGGTACGGAATGAAACAATAAAAGCCCCTCTTGAATATAATCTTCGTCAAAATTGGTATTGAAAAAATAGAAGCCCCCGGCTTCTAATCGAGTGAATACGGTGCGCTGAAGAAAATATCGGTTCCTCTTATGCTTCATTATTGAGCGTGTCTGCTGTACACAATTTTGTGAGTGTTGTATCCGTCTCGTACTGCATAGCCATGTCGGCACATAATTTTACGTACCTGCATGGGCCATCTACATTACTGTAGTACATATCCACTATTGCTCGTGTTCGTTCGTCTCTCAGAGTGTGAAGAAGAGTATAGAGAAGCTGGACAAGTCCATAGCGGACGCCAAGGCACAGTACAGCTCAGCGCTCAGCAGCCTGGAGAGGATCAGCAACGAGATACACCAGTCGCGCGACCGCAACGTATCGCAGAAAGCCGCACGGGAAGCCATCGAGGGCGCCTCGGCAACGCCGAGCACTGGACCGCCGGGAGAGCGGACGGACGGCGTCGGGGCAGAGGTGAACGTGGACGCTGTGCTAGCGGAGATGACTAACCTCACCTTCCAGTACACAGAGTCGCTGGGTAGTCTGGACGATGTAGATGATGACCGACCAGTAAGTGTTAATATTATAGGGGCGGCTTTATTGGTTTTGTGTCTGAATCTTATTTTACTAGGAGACTCCCAACAGGCGGGGACGCCTTCTGACAGGGAACCCTAGTTTTAAAACAAGCTTTCAGGCTTGATATTCTAGTTTATAATCATAACATTCTATATCAATGCACCGGCAGACAAGAACCCTATATAAAATTTAAAAAGTTCCCCCTTTGGGTGCCGACATCCCTTCCGAACCCACATCAGCCGTGCCATCATTCTTTTGCTTGAGGTCATGGTGTTGTCCAAGTGTCTTCATTTTTCGAGATCCAGACGAAATTTGAGTCAAGTGTGAGTCTGCCTGCTGACTCCTCTGCCGGAGCATCGATTGCATCATCTCTGTTGCTGGCTGAGTACACTGCATCGCTCCTGTCTCGCCGTGCCAACTCTTTCTGGCCTACAGCCGAATTGTGCTAAGCGGCCACCACACGGCACACGGTGCACAGAAAACTGGCCTTTTTCGACGGCTGGTCTTTCAGCATAGTCAAACATGCACTTCGAAGGACATTGTTGCCCGGTCTGGGATCTGAGATGACCAGTCTTCACACGCTGAGATGCTATGGGGTGTATTTTTGGCAGTGGTCGCTTGGCACCAGTCTATACTGCATTCTAAAGTCATTGGTGCAAAGTCATCACTAACTCTATGAAAAGAGTGCATAGTATAGCATACCCACCTTGTTGCCAACCTTAGCACGGCGCACGGGTGGTGTTTGTCTGAGACGGGACTGGAAGGGGAAGGAAATGGCCGTCCGAGTCGGCAGCACATGTGCACGCGTATACTATTGCGGTGTGTTGGTATCTTGACATGTCCAGTTCAGCAGCACTTCATGTACACAATCATGTATCCCTGTGTCTCAAATAGGATGGCAAGCGTACACCGTATACTATTGGGGGGGGGGGGGGGGGGGGGGTGTTGATAGCTTGATATGTCCAGTTCAGCAGCATGCCATGCACACGTGTATCTGTGTGTCTCTAACAGGATGGCAAGCGTACACCGTATACTATTGGGGTGTGTTGATAGCTTGATATGTCCAGTTCAGCAGCATGCCATGTACACATGTATCTGTGTGTGTGTGTGTCTCTAATAGGATGGCATGTGTACACCAACAGTTCTTGATCGGTTGGACAAGCTTGACATCGATGAGACCAGCAGCCTCGCGACGTCAACCTCCCAGGACCCGGACAATCAAGTGGAAAGCCTGAGCAGCGACGGCACTGCTGCGGTCAATGGTGTACATGACGGATATGACGACTCCGTGTCGTTGACACGTGAGAGATCAGTTGAGGAAAAGACTAGCTCTAGCGAAGAGCAGAGCACTGAGGAGCATGGCGCGGGGACTAACGAAGTGGATAGATCAGAGGGTGCAGCGGACGTGGAAGTGGTGGCGTCAGACTCGATGCTGGACACCGATCACTCGCTGCATGGTACGGAGCAAACAGACTTGGAGCAAGCATCAGCGCCAAGTCTAGCCGATGAGCTTCGGATGGCTGGCGGAGCAGACGGTGACGAGTCGGCGGAAGACGCGTAGCACAAGTTGTCGTCATGTTGGCCTGTATTTCCGCAGTGCGCTGGCCACTGTGAGTAGAGATGGCATTGGTCTAGTGGTAGCTTTGTGCTGGACATGCACTACCTGACAATCTAACACACACATACACACACACACGTGGGTGTCACTGTGTGTGTGTGTGTGTGCGCGCGCGCGTGTGTGTGCAAATGTACACAAGCACATGCACACACGTACACACGCACACATGTACAGCTAACTTACAAACGTACATGCGTGCACGCACACACACACACCATGCACCACACACACATATCCACTCACGTAGACATGCCCCCCTCCCCCCCCCCCCCCCCACACACACACACACACATACCCACTCACGTAGCCATGCCCCCCCCCCCACACACACCACACGCACACACACACACATACACATACACAGCACCATTGGCTAGGCTTGGTGATGGCATACTCCTAGAACTTGTGATCGTAGTCCATGCTGGTCAGGGGCTACTAGTATATCCGAAAACTTAAATTAATATTATACCATCTTGTCTTCGTCACAATTTCCACATTTGTTCTTTTACCCAGTCTCCGATCAGAGGCAAACACTAGGTCATGGGCAGCCAGGGTCAAAGTTGCCTAAAGCTCCCTGCATATAGCCCCGATGTGTCGCATCCTATATTTTCAAACACTATTCCGAGCCTGGATCCTGTTCCAATTTCCTATTACTACCAAGTGCTTCCCCAACAGAGGAGAATGTCTTGTTGTTGACCCATATCTTATCTTATTTTTGCCGTCAAAGACAATATTATCGACTAATTCTTCGATGGCGTGTTTGTAAGTAACATTGATCCTAAAAGGCAAGATTTCAGCTGCATAATTTGTTAACGTATAACAATGATTTATTGATAACCGCAATCAATAAGCTGAATCGACATTTGTGTATACTTTATTCATACAATGTAAAACGGTGGAGACAATGTGCAAGAAAACAATGAAAAAAGGGAGAAATAGTGTAGAGAAAAAAATAAGGATTCAAACAAGTTTTCGTACAACACTCATCAGGAATCGTCGTTCTACATGTACTAACTTTTAAGTTAGTACAACGACGATTCCTGATGAGTGACAGTAACAGTACATGACTGTAATTTGAAGTAATCAGTGATGCACCTGAACCATGGGGTTGGGTTTGTGTACTCTCGGCATAGTTCGTAGTTGTCATAGCAATAGAAGTTTAAAAAATACTGCGGCATCTCTAGTAGCCATCTCCTAGTATGCAAAAGCAGCATGCAAAGCTTGCAGCACATACGTGTACATTTGTATCAATTCTTCTTGCGCGCCTCTCAAATAAAACTACTTCAAAGTAAAAGAGCTGAACGTGCCGTTTGTCAACTACCCGAAGGCATGCACTCAACATGGCCGCTTGCATCTGAGAATCAATGCAAAGCTCTCAGGGACACTGTTGGTCGCCGAAGAAGGGGGGGGGGGGGGGGGGTGATGAGGCTCGTAGACTGCTCTTATTTTTCATGTACTACAGTCTATGCACAGTTGAGTCACTGTGTATACATTGGTATGCTGTGCTTGGTGAAATTCTAGCCTGTCCGTTCCGAGTTCGGCGCCTAACAGTACTGCACAAGTCCAACATTACAATAGAGAATGTTCAAGTATAGGAGAGTATCATCATAACTGTCCACACTGCACTCTTGGCCCACATTCACAACACCACTCCATAATAACGAATGAATAGCAAATAAAGGAATGAGTATATTTGTATAGGGTAAAGTGGCGCAATTGCGCACTTTTTACATAGAAAAGTGGAATACCCAAAGAAGTTAAAGGTGACAAAAGGAAGTTCTATAAAGGTGATAACGAAACGCACAGTGCTGCTGGGACATGCATACAGATGGCGCTAGAATTTAGACAAGCGCGTGAAGCAGACAATCTACCAGAAGTTCGCACTAACGTTGCCACACATACATGCATAATGATAGATTGAAGTAACAGTCCCATAGTGACGTGATGACGAGGTGCGAGAAACGGAAGGGCAGCCGACGGGACGCGACAGTCCCCGAGGCCCGTGGGGCATTCACTGCACTGCCCGCCCGCCGTGTGAGGTTCCTCCGCTGCCACTCCTGTCGTTGAGGACAAAGTTGTTGTTTTAGGCGCACAAGTAGCCAGTGGTGGTGCGTATCAGCCGCTAACCTCCAGAGAGGCCCCTCGGGCATTCACTCCGTCAGGGCTGCGCGACCTCCAATGCTGGCCGTTGAAAACTTTCATTCCGCAGATGAAGTAGAAGGACATCCCGCTCGCTCATCCTGTCGCTGAACGGCGCAAATATCATTAACTCAAAAGTAGCGACAAACTCGGCCATTCGAAAATAGTGGCCGAGTTTGTGGCTACTTCTGAGTTATAGGAGAGTATAAAATAAAATAATTATTATGTCCAATGTCAATGGTGTGTTTTTGCTAGCGCTGTAGTGTAGGGATGTTTGCACTGCCACTGCCAAGCACTGTGAATCACAGTGAGTTGATACTGGCAGTGTGGTATCAGTATGGCGGGAGCAACGAGAACGATGACCGAGGAGGCAGCCAGAAATACGGCCGCATGTCCATTGAGCAGCCAGTCACCTGAACCATCCCATCCAACCGCTTGTGTACTAGGCGTACCTGATGCACACAAGAGGTCGAATGCAAATCCTCACCAACCCGTGCAATTGAAATAGCGAACAAATCACCCGGCCCCCAGCAAGGGCTACCGATCTGGGGAAAGTCGAAAGAGTCATCCTTCCTCGATGAGCCAGAAAGTGACGAACGAAAGATAACTCCTGATTCACAGAAAATGGCGGCAGTATTGCGCTTTCGCCACGAGATACCTGTATTGGTTTCATCTGTGGATGGCTTCACAACGCCAAAGGAGCCATTCCAACAAGATCCATTATTTCGGCAGAAGATGTGCCATGATGCCGACGACCTTGAGCGCAATATAGGCTGGCAGGTCACACAACCAGCAAGACCATTTTGACCGAGCGCCACAACAGTCCGTCCACTATCACGCGACTCTGCATTCCGAAACACTGCCTTGCTGAAATCGAATGGCAGGGGTGGTAGAATGACACGGTGTAAGATCAATAGCTCCTTTGCCTCCAGTCGGTATGTTCCGGCCACAGGAGGTACCCTAAATTCTACAGGTTTCTGTGAGCAGAACATTTTTGTCGAGCTTGTCATGGGTACAGCATGCAGGTCAATCAGGCTGAAGTCATCTGACAAAGATGCTTGGCGGTAGATCTCTTTAGTAACTTCACCAATGTTGTCGAATTTGCTCGATTCAGATGAGAAGTTGACCTTCAGAACGACTTCTTCACTCAGCACTGCATACTTCGCTGATACATCCCAGTCTGCGTCCGACACTGGTGATGAATCTGGATGCCGGGTTGCTGCTGTTGCTGCTGATGCTGGTGGTGGTGGTGCTTTTATTGTTGAGGCTGTAGGGCCAGACTGCACATGGCCTATGGTTGAATCACCCGACAGGGGTTGATAACTTGCCAGAGAGGTCCAGGACAGGTGAAGTGTTTTGTCCAAGCAGCTTCCAGGATTGGCCAGCCGCGTACGGCTATCAATATCACTGCTTGCATCAATTAAGTGACTCATCAGCGCAAATCTCTCCGCTTGCGTTGGAATACTGTCAAGCTCTCCAGCCAGGTATTTAGTGCGCTCTAGTAAGGCCTGCAATGTTAGCAGTGGAGCTTTCTTTTCAGCCACTTTCTTGCTGCCCTTCCAGTGGTGTTTGTCAAGCTCGTCCCGAAGTGACAGCTCCTGTCTGTCCAGTTCGGCCAGCACATCTGCTTTCAGCTTTTCCACATGGTCGGTGATATCGGCAGAGAGATCCTGACATTGCTGTGCAATTGCCTCCTCATCTTTACACAGAGCATCAAGGCGGTCACCGAGATCCTCCAGGTGCTCATTTAGCGACGGCAACACGCCGTCCCGAAGCTTTGTTTCAACGGCAGTGAGTGATTCAGCGTCCAGAGGTTGAACAGTGTGTCCGTGTTCTGCATGTGCCTTGTTTGCCTGACACAGGGAGCAGAAACCACTCCGACACTGTCTGCAAAGGGACACGCAGACTTCTTTAGGGTGTACTTCACATAGTGATGCCCGCAGCACGCCCTCTGCTGACCCTGCCTTTGACAGAGGATCTTCTGCAGCACCAACAGATGCCAGTTCACACACTGTGTGCTTGGCGGAGCTGCGTGTTTTCTTGTGAATACGCAAATGGTCAGCGCACAGTATGCTGCAGCAATCATAGCATACTGCCACTACTTCGTCTGCATCTTCTGGACACACATCACACTCGTCACACACCAGTTGCTGAGGGTTCTCTGCATCGGTACTGCAGGCAGCGCTCTGTACACTTGTTATGCTTCTCAGCAGGCGATTACGTAGCCATTGGCGAGTCAGAACATAATTTTCCAGCAGACTACCTGGCCCATCCAACACAGTGGCTACCTCCGATGTTGCTTGACATAAATAGCAGAGAATCGACTTTCTGCTCGAATCCCCGCTGTTATCGGGAGCACTGAGTGAATCTGCCAGGCACTCTTCACAAACGTTGTGTAAACACTTGAGCAGTCTTGCTGATCGCCCACTGTCAGTACCACAAACCATACATTTCTGGAAATCAGCTTCGCCCACGACCTGGCGAGGGCCAAGAGCTAGGCTAGGTTGGGCCATCATTCTCGTCTCCACGATCGAGTCGTAGACCTACTCCTTACCTACTAGTAGTAGTACTACTTCTACTAGTCCTACTACTCCTACTACTAGTCCTACTACTACTAGTCCTAGGTCTACGTGTTACCAGCCGGCGCGGTATTGGTTTTTGCAGGCACCCAGTCGCTCCGACCTAGCCTGGCCTGTACGGCTGTACTGTAGATCTACTGTCCAGTCGACATGAAGTTTGGCGAGCTTCAAGAAAACCATGTACCAACCCTCTCATAATTATCGCATAATTATCATGCCTAGTAGATCTACTTACTGCAGCGCTGACCCATGACCATTACTACCATGTAGTTCTACTGAGTGCGTTCGATTATGCACGCGAATCGATTCACGAATCGATTCATGAATCGATTTGCGCTATTCACATCACCCCATGTGAATAGAGTGAATGGATTCCGAATCGATTCCAGGGCTCATGACATGAAATCGAACGACTTGAATGCATGCGAATGGATTCATGAATCGATTCGAGTGTGTAATCGAACGCACTCACTGACTGTATCAACCCGGACCCGCCCCTGTACATGTAGTGCATGCCAGGTGAAATCCGGTAAGTGTAACGTTACTCAGTACAGGCAGTAGCCTTGTCTGATCCCCTCCCTGTAACGTCTGGAGTGCCCCAAGGTTCCATTTTGGGTCCTTTGTTATTCTTGCTTTACGTTAATGACCTACCTTCAGTTGTCCCCGATGTTAGTTTGTATGCGGATGACACTGGCCTTATCTGTTCTGATTCCTCCCCTGCACAATTACTCCTTACCATGCAGCATCGCATCAACAGCACTGTCATGTGGATGCAAACGTGGAAACTCCAGCCCAATTTAGACAAGACAGAAGCCATCGTATATTTCTTCATCCCCTCCTGATCAACCATTATACTTCCCTGACTCGACTATGCCTATCCGTGTTGTTACTCAGCACAAACATCTAGGTGTGATGTTTGACTGCAAACTCTCTTGGGCTGCACATGTCAACTGTGTATGCAAGCGAACCAGTTCAGCATTACTATTAGGGGTACTACAACCACATTGCACTCATTTGCCCATCCAGTGTAAACTATCAGTGCTATATTCTCCCTATATTCGACTATTGCGATACCGCTTAGTGTGGCCTTTCTGACACAACTCTGAACCAATTAGAAGTCCACCATAGATTT